ATATATTTGACCACGGCTGCCGTTTTGAAATCTTAAAATATATTATTATTATTATCGAAAAATAATAATGGTAGACCATTAGCATGCGGTTAACATTATGGCAGACAGTTTTGGAAATGCTCAAAAAAATAAAATTTTGAAAGTATTTGACCAGATCTGCCATTGAGATATATTATTCGTTATGGTCTTAAAAGCTTATATTAATAGCGGCAGACGTTTTTATTGAGTACACTCCTCCTCACTAGATAACAAAATCTTTACTATTACCCGGTCCGATGTATATGGATTACGATCGCTGTTTTACATAAATTTAGCTAACTTATAATTAATTTTATCACTATATGTATAGAAATTAATACTTTTTTTGTACTTTATATACTAAACTTTATAAGATTGATGATAAATGAACTAGATATATTACGAAATAATCTGAAATCATGGGGTATAATGCAAGTAACAAAGACAAAATTTGAAAGGTATCGTAGTCATGTTTGTCGTAGGTTAACTCTTCTTCATAATCCATTGAATCGGACTCTGTAAAAATAAACCGTAAATTATAAAGTATAAATAAGTAATAAATTGATCCGAATATATTTGATCAAGAATTAATTTTTATCAACTTACCAGGGACATTAGTAATTAAGTCGCTAATAATGATATCTCCATCGAACCATTTAAAGACAAATGTGTTGTCCTACTCAAGCCAACCATACTCCAATGGGTCCAAGGTTGAAGGTTGCTTTTTGTAAGCGTTTTTCCAAATAATTGAAATGTAATGGGCTCTCATAAGTTGTTGGTAGAGTTCATTCCTGCATGGTAGTATTGAGGTTGCGTCAAAATTGTGTATTTTTTTACTAAAATTTTCGTTCACATCCGAAGCTTTGTAACTACTCACGGTACTACAGAATGCCCTTTCTCCAACAACTGATCTAATTCAGCGCCAGTATCTTTTTCTACGACTTCATTTGTCTCAAAAACGTTTACGTGTTACGTTATTTCCCGCCCCTATTTAATTGACGAGGAATAAAAGTTATCGTGTATGTTTACCGAATACAGTTCCATACTGCACAGACAGCGGTGTGGGGTAGGAGGTAAGTAGGTGTTGATGTGGCCTCGAGTGCGGTAATTAAGGTAGATTGTGATATCGTATTTTATTTGCAACTTTTTCGTCCAAACTTAAAACGCACAGTGTCGTATAAATTGTGGATGCGAGAACAGTTGACAACCTGAATATTTTTCTCAAATATCGCTTATCATAAATAATGCTCCAGTTAATTTAAAGACGCCGCAACGAAATAGAAAATATTTAAGGTTATAACCAGTTTTATAAAGTATACTTGGTAAAATCTATTTTGCAAAACCTGCATGTACTTGGTCGACCAGGTTAGTTTATCGCATTAATAATTGCCTTTCATCTAACAAAGTTAATGTGTTTACCCGTAGCAAATTCTCTATTTCGACGTTATTTAAACGGCAAACTCGAAGTTTATATAATAAGTTAATTCTGAGGGTACGTCATATTAAAAGGCTAACGCCGGTAATAAATTCCAATCAAGAAAACAACTGTGCCTTTAGGCTTAATGCCAATTAAGTACACGATTGGTCGGCAACAATCCACAAAGGGTTTCTCTTCGACGCCATATTGGAAGCACGAATAACGTATACGTATATATTTTACTTATTACGTGCGCCGGTAACGTAGGCGAATTAATGATCGTTCGGGCAAAATGCATACGCACAAAACGTCTTCGAGGTGATTTAAACCTGGTTTTGCTGGTTAATACAATATTGAGACTGCAGAAACTGTCTAGTTTTCACTCAAATTGTTAATATCGTTATTATATCGTAAATAGTTGTGTTATCGTAGCTGAAAAAATTGTTTTTCTTTTTTAATATGACAACCTATAATATAAAGCCTATATAATATTTTACAGCTACAGCGTTTACGAGGACGCCGGACGTTGCGCGCTGTACCTACGATGGCGGTGCATAATTTTCAGCTGGACGCATATTTTGTCAGATGATTAGATAGAAGCGCTGGCATTTTTATCAAAATACGCTGCACGTTGCCGATATCGATAATTATATTTTGTCCGGTATATTTTAATAAGAGTAAGACGGTTAGCAATGGAGATTGTTTTCTTTGTCATAAAGCTTGATATTAATTTCAAATAACTGTAATAAAGGGTTTTTAGTATTCACAAAACTTCTGGATTCCTAATGCGTCGGTTGTTGTTGAGTCGAACTTGCTAAAGTTTCGCTAATCATCCTGTTGGCTCCTTCAGAGTTTAAATGAAACTGGCTCGCATTTTACTCTGCACCTGCTTATATATCGTTTGAGGGAGGGCGGCGCTAGATGAGAGGCATACACCATATTGGTGACAGGTAGAGACCTGAGTCGCGGTTAAGATTGTTAGGTTAGGACTCTCGGATTTTTCGTTGGTAGAAGAACTGATTACATGCAAGAATTTTATGTCCGGTTTCGTGATTGTGTTCGGCAACTGCTAATGAGTTTATTGGTCTTAGTCTTAAGGCTCTTACATGTTCTTTAAGCCTAGTTAATATTCTTCGTCCGGTATTTGCCGCATATGCATGGAATGCATGTCTTTGAAATTTTTGGACAAGTGGTAAATCTGGTTTTAACGTTATATTTCTTTAGAAATGTGGGGTTGCATCCATGCTCATTGCTATTGGAAGGTGTAGGTTATGGTGAAGTGTATTTTGTGACGGAACGCTTAAAATCTTTATTGGAGAGAACAGCAGAGACAAGGTGTTTTAATTCTGGGTTCAGTGACTCGGGTTGAGACAGTTTTAAGGTTTTGTAAACTAGAGAGTTTATAATCGATGATTTTTGGGCAGGATGGAGATGTGACAATGCATTAAGGTATCGGTCTGTGTGCGTAGGTTTTCTGTCAACACAATGACCTAATGTTAGGTCTGATTTTCTATTGATAAGAATATCTAAAAATGGCGGGTTATTATTAGGTTCTAGTTCAATGGTAAAACATATGTTAGGGTGTATAGAGTTTCTAAGAAAATCTAAGAAATTTAAGAAAATCTACTAGGGATTCTTGATTCTTGATATATAGCCCGTCCTTTTCCATTGTAAAATTAGTTCCACTTTTCCTTCACGCTGTTGCCATTCCAATTTAATATAACAAACAAATACTAGTGTCCAATATTCTTCAGAAAATGGTCGTAATTTTGTTAAAAGATACGTAGTCAACATGAATGTCGCATGCCGTATCATACCAACACTTTGCTGAGGGCGATGCTCTATTGTTTCGACTACCATAGCTGTTAGCACAAGACGATTTTTTTTTTTGCTTTACATAAATAATTTTATTTATTTTAAAAATTGAACTGAGGTGGCTTTTATTTGATGAAAATCCATTTATCAAAATAAATAAGAACAATTTGAACTTCCTAAAAGCTAGTGTTACTAGTACGACACCGTTCTAACCAAAGATCCGCAGGCCCATCAAAAAAGTTATTAAGATTATAACCAACCGTTCTAAGGCGATAATAAAAAAGCAATGTTGATTTAGTTCATTGATTTGTCGTATTAAAAATATATTGCGTCGATTCGATTTGCTCCGAATGTAACGAGGTATTGTCAACAAGCGGTTTAAGGCAAATAAAACAAAAATGGCAGGTCATGCTTGAATCTGATCGGTCGGTAATGAACCTGCGGTTATTTCATCCGAAACTCTAGAAAAACTCTTTAATTAGAGAAGGTTTTGTCTGCGTTTCCGCAACGATGCCTTCTGGTAATTGGATTGATTCTTAAATTTAATTTTAGAAATTTGACCTGTTACATAGATATACGAAGTTTTCTCCGGTACGATCTTTGATTTATTTTCGCTAGTTTAGATGATGCCCAAATCAAGAAGAGTTTCGTATTCGCGTGTTTCAAAAAATATGCGTCAACATTCACCTGGAAATTCAGGTCGAGAAATTGCAAGGTATGAGTTGTTAAATATATTTTTTTAAAAGCTTAGTCGAAAATCCTTACGTCGTAGGCTACATGCCTCAACATTTCATCATTTTTTTTGTACTAATTTTTTAGAACTAAGGGCCCAAAAAATGTGTTCACCATAATACGTTTTAAGAATTTTTACTGAATCAAATAAAGTCATACTTTTGTTCATTTATGGAAATTAATATCAAAAATCGCACAAAACTCCACCCGGTACGACACTGGACTTTTTTTATGCTATTTTTTTTAGTTTCTACATTTTCAGCCGCTCCTTTTTGTAAAGATGTGCAAGATTAAGCAACGCAGAAAAATACCTGCACAAAACAGCTATAAAACATTAATGAACTTCGAATAATGTCAAGTTATACAGGGTATTTACAAAAAAAAAGAACAAAATTAAACCTCCAGACAATACACGAATATAATTAAAATCTGCAAGGTAATTTTCAACACAAATATGTTTTAAAATCCTTGTAATAGCTTAATACATTTGCGGAAATTTCCTGTAGAGTATCTGGTCTTATAATTTTTTTCATTTTGATTAAAAGAAACATATACAGGATTTGAACTAAACCTCTTACCAAAAAAAAAAACAAAATTTTATGAGAAACATTCCTGCGCCCTTGATAGTAAAAAAGAAAAACAATAGTTGTTTCCCAAAAAAACTTGTTGAAAAAATTGTTGCTTTTTTCATAAAAATCCCGTATATTTTATTTATATTGAGGACAACTATTCTTTAGGAAATATCCAAAAAACCGTTTCAATTTGATTTGATTTGTGGAAACTCAAATGGAATTCTGGTGTGATGTATCTGTATCTCGACAAGATGCTCGATATAGTAGTCAAAATCGATGACAAGGGCAAGCGATATATTTAGTGAAAATAGGCATTAGTACAGATTTAGTGTTTACCCCTGCAGAGGTTATAATACCTAAATAATTGACTCAGTCAGTTGTGACACTCGTATTGAATTTTACGATTCGACAACACACATTCGTCCTAGAATATATAATGTTCTTACGTGAATTGTTAGTGGACAATTTATCTGCGAGTTGATCCAAGTTTTCACCCACGTCGACCAAATTTCGAATGGAAAATACGGATTTGGCAGCCCGAAGTTTTCCATTTTCCGATGTAATGTCCTCATCTTTTTGTTTGGTAGTTAAATCCATGTCGTCCACACAACTACCGAGCATCACTTTCAAAATATATAAACGACACCCAACTGTTAACGACCCAATAAAATCTGAAAATAAAAAAAAAATAGTGATAACCAATATAGTATTTGAAAAGCATTTTAAACATAGTTCAAAAGACAGTGTTTTAAAAAACCATACACCAAAGTGGAAATACCTATTTAAATATTATTAAATTAACAATTAATTAATATTTAGAAACAGAAAACAGGTAGGTGGCGAAACTAAACAGTTAAATATTATATTTTTTAAAATTTTACTAGTAATGTGCAGTATTTGCATTAAATTTTTTTAAATAGAAATTTTAAATTTTTGGGTACAGGAAAATTCGTTGCATTTTGAGAAAACACTGGTTTTTAAAGGAACCTGAAAATATTGTCATTTTTTTACATTATTATTATCAGTGCCTGAGCAAAAAATGTCAAAAGGGCTATGAAGCTTTAACTAAATACCATCAATGAATATCTCCATCGATTCTTGGCACTTTAAATCTGTGAAACGAAATAGTTTTTTTTTCATTATTCATTGAATTTAAGACCCTTCTTTACGTATCTTCAAAGTTAATTTACAGACTTTTTTTAAATCTCAAAATATTCCTAGTTTCTTCTTCAACTCAAAAGTAATGAGTAACTCCATCGAGCATTTTTTTTATTATTCAAAGAATTTAAGACCCTTATTTCCATATCTTCAAGGTTAGATGGGGACTTTTTTTAATTTGAAAATATGCCTTGTTCCTTTGTTCGCTCAATTCATGAATTATTTACAAATAACCTTAAAGACTTAAACGAAGATGATATAGACTGACGACTTAGGAGAGCGAGAGACAATTTGGCTTCTGCGTGAATTGCATTCGCTCGCATTGCATTGATCGAATTTTTTAAAACCATGTCGTAATGTTTTTTTATAAATGAAACAAGTTTCAAAAAAATGTAAGACGACTTAAAGTTGGGTTAGGATTCACCATTTTTATTCTACGAACGCGGTTAGCAAAGACTTTGTATAAAATCAAATAAAAATAACTCATATTAAGAAAAAAATTTAGGAAAAAATTGAAAAAGTGTATTTCTATTAAACACATCTTCAAAAAATGTTAAAGACTTACCATAAATCTTGACTGTACAGCACATGCAATATAAATGGAAAAGAAAAATATAAGGAGCGTAGTGTATTAATTTTAATAATAAAGTTTATTTATAGAACCCGCTTTGAAACTAACAATTAATTAAACAGTTAATTGAAAGTTTTTTTATGGCCAATTTCATTATCCTACCTGTCGTTCCTTATATAATAATTTCCCTTTCCATGGTATATAAATCAATTGAGCCACCTAAACTCACGTTGCTTAGCATAAATTTTCCGTCGAATATGTAGCTACCTAATTAGTGACAGTCTATGTATAATAATTATGCAGGCACACATCATACTTTTTTTTAACTTATCGGACGGAGGCAGAATTTTTGTTGGTCGTTAAATAGTTCATTTAAAGTTAACAAAGTGATTAAAGGTCTCCGTTTAAAATATAAATCAGCAAATGACGACCCAAAGCCAGCTAATTATGCGGTCTAGATTAGTCGCAAACTAACTGTCTGTGATAGGCATATTTAAATATAAATAGACGGTGCGGCAGGGGCATAAATAATCAACAAATTATGCCCATATGAAAATATATAGGCAAGAATATTACAGTTGACATGATAAAATTTAAAGCGCACGTAAATGGTATTAGTCCCGTTGTATTTAACTAGCATTATTATTAAGGCATTGATAATAAGTAAACGAATTTTATCAAGTAACGTAAACAGCATAGTCATTTACAAAAATGATAATTACGCCGCTGGGAATCGTTAATTGACGCAACCGTAAATTTCGCTTAAATGTAGAATTATCAAATTAGTTTAATAAGGCACTAATCAGAACGATTACGCATGTGATAAGTAATGAAGCGTTTATTATTTCCCTTGTCGATAAAAGCAATTTTTTTTCAAAAATTGTTGCAAACCTCAAGATTTTACATAACGACTTCAATTATAATCAAATTTTATTGATGAAATATCAGTTTTACCTATGAAAAAGTAGCTCTAAAATATGGTTCATTTTTTTTCTGCTGTTATCTTAAAACAATTTACATTGCAAAATCGCTGTCGCCAATAGCCATGAACTTAACATTTCTAACTTCTGTATTGTTGGACCACTCTTATAAGAGAAATTTAATGGCATTTTTAGAAATATGTTCATCTTTTGAGAGTACTATATAGTTGGTCTCTTGTAGTGAAAACGAATTTCGGTAGACGTTTTTAAGTTATATCCCCAAAAGAACTTTTTTTTTATATAGATCGCCCTGTAATATTTCATCCCATCGAGTAATGCTAATTTTTCCCTTCTTCTTGTTTTGCTAAATGTATATGAAATTGAAAAAGAGGTTAAATAAAATATAATAACTAATAATACCAAACCAGAATATAAAAAAAATACCCGCCAATATATGAACACATTTACCAAAAACCATTTTCATCTTTTTAATATCACAGAACGCTATCGAGATATTGAAAAATGAATTTATATTGAAATCAGCCTAATTTTAATGATTATGTAAACAGTAATTGATTCAAAAACGAACAAATAAACCTAAAAATTAATACTTGGTATATTTATCTATTTTTAAAAAACACGTTACACGAAAAAAATGTTTCAAGTTTTATTTATCTACTAAGAATAAATTTAAAAACAAATAAATTAACTAGTATTGAAAAGTAAATCAAATAATTGGATAGAAAAACTCTACAAAACTTGAATCCAAGCATAAAATGCATTTTATACATTACTTTTGTAAAAGTTTGTGAGATGTTTTAAATAAAAATTTTGGGTTTGTTACTAAATTTAAATTTGATATTTGTAGAAGATTACAATATGCCTGTGGTTAGAAAAAACCGATAAAAACGCACTTTCGATAACCCTTGTGGAAGTATGATTCGGAATTCCCATTAGGGTTTAGATTTTCTTGAGACAGCAGTGGACCTAGATAAGATCATTGCCACGGCTTTTCTTTGATCGATTCAGTAGTTGCTAGGCAAGCATTATTTTTCCATCAATTTCTTAATGGTTGCTTCGGGAATGGACTTAACCACCCTAGAAAGGGTTGTGGCTTAATCATGAACTTTAAAGAAACTTCTCTAGCTATTTGGTTGCCGTGATGACCTTCTCGCCCTGACCCTTGACGACGTCAGTGTCAAATCGTTTAATGCATTGTAACGATCCAAACAGTCTCCTTCATGACTTGCTTTTCCATTGGAATCGAAATTTTTTTTTATTTTATTTCGAAGATTCCTGCTTTTACACCTTCTTGAGTATTTGTTAGTTCTGGTCACTTTAGTTATATTTGCTTTCTTCTCTGATCGGAACTTATGTGTGTTCTACAAACGAGTACTTCCGCATGGAGTATCCGCGGGCAGCCCTAGGCCTTCACCTTGTTATAGCTTGTCATACTCGCTAATTATATTGGTGGAATAATCGGCTCCATGTTAAAAAAATCGTTAAACTTTGCTGTTATTCAAGACGGTATATAGGTTTAGTGCGCAGTGTGAATAATGCATCAAAAGCACTAAAATATTGAGCATTACACCGGTATTTATAAATTTAGAATTCTTCTTTGTTCATGTTCCTCAAAATAATTTTTTGAATTCATTAGGTTTTAAAATTTAATTTAACGATACAATGAATCCTTTATGGGAATTAACTGAGGTATGCTTGTGGTCGAAAGACTATTCAAAACTTATCAAAACTAGTTCTCGGTCGCTCAATTAAGTAACTATATTTATTTGCTATATATGTTAAAACGGGTGGTTAGTTAAAAAATAAATATATGTATATTTATCTAACTTCAATAAATAAAAATGGAAAAAATTAAAATATCCTTTGATATTTAAAATATAAAAATATTAATTTGAACAATACTATAAATATTTAGTAAAGTCTGTTCATAGAATAAGAAAGTGACTAATTGATACGAATTAAGGAAAGACCCGGGCAAGCTGTAAAAATGAAATATGGCCGAACAGGTCCGCACTTTGCTTAGAATTTAATTATTTGGGGTTTTGTTAGGAACGATACTAAACAATATTTATTCATTTATGTATGTATTTATTTTTAAATCTAAAATAAAATTACAAATAATTTTTATTACCTATTTATATTACTTAAAATAATTCACATAATATATCAGTATCACTATCGCTATCATCGCTTGTTCTAATTACTATTTGTTCTATATTATTTGCAATATAGATATACTTTGTGGAGGGATGTTAAAAACTTAGGTTTCTATAAGTTTGAATACATTGGAGTTGAGTTCTTTTTTTCCATACAGTTCATGTTGTAATTTTCGTCAATGTGGCCGTTCATTCTAAAGATGCTTGCTTGCTGGCACCACGTTCAATGAGAATCAAATAAACATTGTTTATAACTTCCTTAGTCTCAATAGAATAGTGTTTTCTACATTTGGACGGAAGCAGCTCCTGAGATACACTAGACTCGCACATATTTTGCATCATTCGCACACAATTCAACACACGCTGTATTACAGACAAAATAAGAATGATTACTAATAAACTTAAACTAAGTAGTATACCAAACCAAAGAATATATATAATCACTTTCTTATATCTATGAACAGACCATACCTATTTTCATTCCTCAGGTCACTTCGAACTTTCATTGTAAAATATATTTTGTTTTAAAAAACATCTAATTATGGAAAGTATGGAACAAAATAATGCTTTTTTGACGAATTTTTTTTAGAAACTTTATTCCACTAATTGTGTTTCCGAATCAAAACTAATAAATAGTCCCTATATAGGTTAAATCCACCCAACGAAAACAACATTGTAAATTATACCGAAACGATTCAACCTAATTCAAAGGAAACATTGACATTTGTAAAGTTTATCGGTAGCCTTAATAGTGAATATTAAAAAATAACTCTAGGTTTAATATTTTCCAAACGGAAACAAAACCTCTGCTCAATAATGTTCCTAACCGGTTTCTGACAGCTGATTGTGCCGATGAATATTGAATATTTAGTTAATCGGTATAATTTCAGTTGATTTTCAAACGTTTTTTGGACGATTTTTCTATCATTATCGGTGAAAAAGATTGAAAAAAAAAACTTACAGGAGTCATTCGAGGAAATCCTAATCTAGCAAAATCGCGGCTTAGGTAATTTATATCACAGAGCAAAAAATTCGCCGTACACGAGACGTCGACGGATGACGTCGCAATCGTCATCACCGCATTTCGGCCGTCTGTTTCAAGAGGTCATAAAAGTACCGACGCGATATTATTACGGACAGGTGTAACAGTTTGCCAGCAATTTAAGAACGGTACATGCGATGCCTCTTGGATACACGCGCACACTGTTCTGGCGCGAACATACTTGTGGGACGGAACCCACCTGAGACGGCCCATGGGCGTGTCCAGCTTCTAATCATTAATTATCGCCCTTGTTACTGTCTATCCGAATGAACGTAAAATATACACACTTATAAAACGGTTATTGGATAAATACTTTATTAACTACCGCGCCGGGGAAGTTTGCGTGCGGACGACTGGAAATATTTTCGGGGTGTGATGATTTTTGAGGGTTGCTTAACTGAGAGTTAACGTAACTACACCAGACCGCATATAAGTGAGCATCAGCACTTATTATCAACAAAAACGCCATGAAAGAATGGACAATCTCGGTTGCTCCGGGATTTAAAACACCTAAAAGCTTTTTTCGCTTTCCATTTTACCATAAATAACAATTATCAAAAAATATTGAAGTAATATTTTATAATGTAAATATATGGTATACTCCGTTGGCCAAATGCTATTGCCGTGATTGGTTTTTCAATACTTATTTTGATCATTTAGACTTTGTCAAATGAATTTGTTTGTCTTCCTCTCTTTCGTCTTCTCTTTCGGATCATTTTCCATGTTTTAGCCACAATCTTTCATGTGGCAGTCTTCTCTATTTTATTTTTATTGTGCCGCTAAGAATCCTCGCTGTATACCCGCGATCTGTTTCATTTTATTTTTAGGAACTTGATCTTTCAAGGCTGGCGGACATTTTCGTCAAAAACAGTCTTCGATGGCATTTATAGGTACAACATAACACTAATAACAACTTAAAGGTAAGAAAACAATTTCTCTAATGTACACTATAGCAACAGTTATTATATTAATTATCCTTACTACATGTAGACGCAAATAAACATAAAATATAATATGTGTTGTTAATTTTTCCCTTCTTTTTTGGAATTTAGAAATTTTTACTTAGCTTTCAGAGTCGTTTATATATAGAATATACTTTTTCTACGACCGTTAGTTTTTGGGTACATTTTCGCCAAAGAACACGAATACATTCAGTGACCTGACCTTCAGAATTGACAAACGTCAAAATTCTAGGCGTGGGAAATACCTCCGAAAACATCCGATTGCTCCCAAACCCGTGCAGTAAAATCCCGGAAATATCCGAAGTGGTTGGGATCCGAAGGGAAACGAACTGACGTGATAAAGTGACGCTTCCTGCACGCTAGATCGGTGTGTAATTAGGCATTTTACAGACGGGAATAGAAAAAATGGGTTTACAATACGTTTGCTACGATACAATACGCTTCCTATAGTTGAGCTATCGATATTTCAATCAGTCTACAAACACTGGACAACCATGGAACTTAAACAGCTCTGCGATACTTTATTTATTACCTCTTAATTGCGTAAAATACATCATTTCTAAAATTTATCTCTATATGCGTGGCGGATATTTATTAACTGAACGTATGATATCCATGTAATTTTTGTCCCATCTCTCAATCTGCTTTTCTCCCCAACAATTTTCACTACAAAAACATCATAAATAAAATTTCAAAGCAACCATTTACCCTAAAATTGACTCTTCGATAAAACATCCACCAAGCAGCTGCGTAAAAAATATTTTGGAGAAATCAGGTCGAACAATATCATCCACACTATAAAAACACCAGCCTTCAAGAGTCGAGGTCTGACTGATCATTCACTATACAACATTTCATTTGCTGAAACTTAAATCCTTATTTAACACACACTCTTTTATCAAAGAACAATAATACGAAAATCAACTGAAATCAGTAAACATCCTAATACAGAAAATGTCTTCTCTTTTTGACGCCGCCCTGTTTGAGTATTCATAGTGGAATAAAAAAGCGGTAAAAATGTTCAGTTTTTTTTTGCGACTTAGAACCAGATATTGTAAATACGAATGACGACTTTTTGTAGTGGTACCGAGTTTTGTAATACGAAAAAACTGCCAAAAATGCGGAAATTCAAAAAAATTTCTTTTTGTCATTCATCGTCCAATAACTCCGAAACTATTCCACATATCTGAATGATTTTTCGTTTGACTTGAAGAGCATACACAAGCGATGATAAACGAGTCGATATAATTTTCAGATTTTTTGTATACAAATTTCCAGTAAGCGAGAAACTTTTTTATTTTAAATTTTTTCATACCATATGCTGCGAATGGAATGTGGTAAAATACATGAAGAAATTTGAAAAAAAACTCAGCCTTTTATCTATAATAGTGTTTGAAATATGATTTTTTGAATCGTAACTTGGCAGCCTCGACACTTGGCTTTGATCGTTGTGTTCCGTGTAAGTGAACGGGAAAATGTTGAATGCAGCCCATTGGTGTAAGCCATTTGATTCATCTAGTTATTTACAAACAGCTGCTGAAAAAAACAACTAGCATACAACAAAATAATTACTTTTAAAGACCGAACTAAGAAGCCCATAAGTCTTTCTAAAAAAATGGTTATAGTCGCAATTTATGTTTCGTAGAATAATCTGTGCAGCAAGAATCCAAGAAATTGATTTAAATGACCTATGAGCTAACTTTGGTTGTGTCATAGATAGAGAGATAGAGGAACAAAATACTGAGAAAATAGATTTATATCCAAATGTACATTCTTATATTATTGATGATATGATACTTCTTCATGAATTGAAACTTACTTCTTCTATAACATTCAACGCTTTAGACTGCTGAGAGACAAAGACGTGGTGAATCACCTAACAATTGAATAAAAAGTTTCTGGGTCCCGAAACGTTCCGGTTTTTAAAGATTTTCTAAAATCATCCGCCAATAAGAAATCCTTATCAATTTTTATGGTCCATGTTTTGAAGAATGCCGCAAATTTGTTAGATAAAAATTGATAATAGAAGAATTATCTGCAAATCCCGAAAACATATTTTTCATAACACCTCAACTTTGGCAGAAATTCAAAAGTAACCAAGAAGAGCCAAATACGCGGGTCATTCTCCATGTTCTGACCGAGAGAGAGCATAGTAATACCATTAGTTCTGTGGATACCAAAGTTTTTATCTTAGTTCTGCATCATTATGTCATTGAAAGGCAATTGAAAGATAAACGTTTCTTATCAATTCAGAACACAGAAAGTTTGGGAGAAACAATTTCAAAAAATATTTTGGCTGTACATTACGGAATGTGACACAAGTACATTATTCAAAATTGGCAAGACAGCCTTTGTTGTACTAATCAAGAATATTGACATAAAAGAATTATATAATTTGACGTTTCTACCAGACAATGAAGCAGTGGACCTGAGCACCAAATATATTTTACTTTTGTATAGAAATAAGAAAAGCGATATTTCATCCTTAATGGTCTGCGGACAGGGTTAACAACAAATTCAAACAGACCTGCGATGGAACTGGAACTGAATGCATTTCAACAACACTTAAGAAGGTAAACCACTCATTATGAAACCTGGGTAGATGTTAGTTCAAAACAATAATGTTTTTTTTTATTATTTTAGATTCATATTTACAACTGAAAATTTGGTATTCCAGTCACGCATCCTATACAAATTTTGATAATCCAAATATATATGGATGGATACCGGGATACCAATATTTATTTTTCGACAATATTTTCGACATAAGATCCTGTACCACAAAAAATCAGAAACATTCTGGTTTTTGCGAGTTTCTGATGTAACCTGCAACGACAATAAATGTAAATGTGTAGCGCAAGGTTTGAACTGCTACGAAGAATGAAATTGCAAATTCTGTAGCAACAAAGCTATAATAGGTACAGCGGAATCTTTGGATAAAGATTTCTAAATGATTTTTAAAAGAATATGTATTCAAAAATTCAGAAATAAAAATCTTCATTAGTTCATTAAAATTACGTCTATACTTTCTTGATTCTCCTAATCATAGGCTTATGATAATACATTCACGTCTGTAATGACTTAGGTTCGCGGATCAAAAAATCATATTTCGAATACTATTGCGGATAAAAGGCCGCGTTTTTTGCTTCCTTTTCATTCGCAGAGTATAGTATGAAAATCTTCAAAATAAAAAAGTTTCTAGCTTATTCACCATTTGAATACAAAAATTCAAATTTTCAAATTCGAAATGAAAAAAAAATGGAAAATAAAAAAACTGAACATTACATCGTCTTAGTCATCGCAAGTCAAACGAAAAATTATTCAAATATGTAAATAGTTTCGGAGTTATTGGAGGGTAAATGATAAAAAGCAATTTTTTTGAATTTCCGCATTTTTGACAGTCTTTTGGGTTTTACAAAACCCAGTACCACTAAAAAATATAATTACCAATTTCATATAAACAATAAGCTAACTAATGATTCCAGTCAGCTTTCATCTGGTTCTAATTCGATTAATTTCGATTAATTTTTTTTCAAGAAGGAAGCGTCTTTTTCAGGCGTTTTCACTCCACTATTAAGGTATACACAGAGCATTCGTTTCACACTTCTGAACAGCGCGCTGACGAAGTCAACGTTTAATGAAGTATCAGCAACAGCCTGCGCAATACATATAGTAAGTAACAAACCTGGAGAATTGAAAAAGGGATTGAATGAATAAGTTAAGAAAATATTGGCATTACTACCTTCAATGTAAATAGAACATATGCACAAAATGGAGATTTTGTTTTGATACTTGGAATAGAAGTTAGAAAACTACTAGGGTTTTTAGAAAAATTGTTTGTAACAACCTCTTCGAAGTATAAATATATACTATACACCGTATTAGATTTTAAACTAACATTCTTAAATCTTAGTCCCTACAAAATTTTCTTATAAATCACAATTAAGTAATTACACTTTTAAAGTTGAGATCAATTTATGTCGCTTTGTTTATTGCTCTCTGCTCCATCCAAAAGGAAAGCGATATGGCTGTTCTAACATTATTGAATAAAAATACAGGTAATTCCAAAAAATCTTAACGCATTTTAGTAAAGTTGGATATGTGAAAAAAGTCTTTTCCTAAGCTATTAATCGTGCTCCGAGTGAGGCGATTGGGATTGTTTACCTTGACACACTTTTCTAACAAAGTGGCAAAACATTAAATTTTCTGAAGAAAAAAATAAATTACCGATATAACTTCCCAGGTAAAGTCTGTTCATAGATATAAGAAAGTGACTAACTGAGACGAATTAAGGAAAGACTCAGGCAAGCTGTGAGAACGAAATATGGCCGAACAGGTCCGTACTTTGCTTAGAATTTAATTATTTGGGGTTTTGTTAGGAAAGATACTAAATAATATTTATTTATTAAATATGAAATAAAATTACCAATTATTTTTATTACCTACTTAAATTACTTAAAATTATTGACATAATATATCAGTATCACTATCGCTATCATCGCCTGTTTTAATTATTATTTGTTCTATTTTATTTGCAATATGAATATACGATTGTTCTGCTTTTTCTGTATGTTTAACAGAATTTGCCCAACTTTGTGGAGGGATGTTGAAAACTTCGGTTTCTATAAGTTTGAGGACATTGGAGTTAACACGGGGAAAAACATTGTTACAACTAATGGCAGATTTCAGTTGGTGCCAAACATGTTCAATGGGATTAAATATACAGTAGTAAGGTGGAAACCTTAAAACTGTAGGTTCAAGCTTTGTAGAACCTCAATTAATTGCTTTTTGATATAATCTTCGTGAAAATAAATGTCGTTATTATACATGTAGTTTTGACTTGTTGCTTTTGTGTCACATGAGGAAGGGGTTTTAGTCAACTGTCTACGATGACATTAAAACTTGCCTTTTGTCAATTTTTTTAAATCTAAAATCCATGAGTCGAATACACTTCCATAAGGTAGTTCTGTCACATTTAACACCGGTTTCATCTTTTTCAAGCCTCCTAATTAAAATATCTAATGTAGGCAAATTTTACGCCGTATTATATCTAGATCACTTTCATCTACATTCGAGAAAATGTCAGCATCGCTTCTTTTTTTCACAACGTCCCATACAGTTGATGTTGGAATTTTCGTCAATGTGGCCGTTTCTGCTAAAGATGCTTGCTTGCTGGCACCACGTTCAATGAGAGTCAAATAAACATTGTTTATTACTTCCTTAGTCTCAATAGAATAGTGTTTTCTACATTTGGGCGGGGAGCATCTCCTGAGATACACTAGACTCGCACATATTTTGCATAATTGGCACATGATTTAACACACGCTGTATTATTACGAAGTAAGAATGATAACTAAACTTAAACTAAGTAGTATACCAAACCAAAGAATATTAAACACAGGTAGGTATAAAATTATTTTCTATTAGGGACCACAATTTTACCTGAATTTAAATTCCGAAACTTTAGGTATTAATCTTGTTGCATTGTATGTTAATGACCACCCTTGAATAATCCCATTCAAAAGCAAATGGTCACTTTCTTATATAATATGAACAGACCATATCAGAGGCTCGTCAACGTGACATCATTTTGGAGTCATAAGTGACTTTTTCTAATTTATCTGCTTTACGATGGATATTATGAACTACCCATCTTTAAATCTTACTTAGTTTACCTGAATGGCACTGCCTGTATATTATTGCGTTGGCATTGTTAAGCATGCTTAATTATATTTGACCCTTTTCGAAATTAAAAGTATAGCTTCCGCCATTTTCAATTTTCGATTGAAATATATAGTTAAGTTCCATTCTTTAATTTAACAGAAAATTGAACTTTTCGACTAGTCACATGTTTTAAGGATTTGAAAACTGAGAATTCAGATTTTGGATGAATTGCAGATGCAACAAAAATTTCTTAAAAATTGTATTGCTGCCTCTACCTAGAACAAGCTTAACCTGTTGAGACATTAAACATTTAGGATTTAGTCAAAAGTGATCGAAGTTTCTTTCCGCAACCTCAAATGAAAAATTCAATGGTGAAGTTTTCCATTATGGTATCTATGACCAAAGCAAAATTTAAAGATCATTTGCAAGATAAATTCAATACAAAAATAGTAAAAAACTTAAGTAGTACGTGACTTCTCCACATGTTCAAATTTAGCCTTCAGGAAAAAATTAGGTGTCAAAGAACACTAAAAAATTGTTCAGTATTTTAAGCAATTCCAAACAACAATAATCAAATATACATTTTCATTGCCAATGGAGAAAATTCCAAGATTAAAAAAAAATTATTGATCACTCTTATATATCAAATCATATTATTATATCTTTCAATAGTAATGTTTTTTAAAATTATTTTTGATCATTCTGTACCATTCTACTAATCATAAAACATTTCATCCAGTTTGATATACGAGTCATTTAGTTTTCGTTAAAATTTAATTTCAAGGTGAGTAAAAAGAACATATTTAGGCAATATATAATTATTTATTATTATAGTGTTAATAATATAAGTCAAAAACTAATAGCCACTAAAAACAATGTTCAGAGACAATCCTCTGGTTTCATATCTTTGTTGGTTTTTATAAATTACCAGAAGAGTAAATTGGTATTTCACAATAATTGATTCAACAATTCTAAACCTAAACAAAATTTGTACAATATATTCTACAATATGCGTAACAATGCTTTACGATGAACCTTGCTGCCCAGTGCATTTATCGACTTCAACTTTTCTTCTTTTTGCCCTAATGTCAGCCATTGTTTGCTCTATGGATCTATGATCCTTTTTGTTTTCACTTGGCACTGAAATAAATTGATTAAATATAAATGACAACAAATAAAACCATTAGATATACCAAATCCGTAAGACTTGTTGGTTTGGGTTTTCCTAGCTGCTTCTAAAGCAGCATCCTGACCAATCAGATGAGCATATTTATCTTTGTAATTACTATTTGGAGTAAAATCTGCTTTAGGCTTTGGTTTTATGCTTTCCAATTCCTCAAGTTTTTTAAGTTCCCTCTGCAACATATATTACAAATACATAAAAGAGAAATTAAACATTATTTAAAAATTACATCTCTAATAAGTTGTTGTTTAATTTGTTCATTCCATGGTTCCCCTCTCCTTCTCGCAGCTAATTCATCTTCACAAGGTGGATGATCTTTGCGATATACCCTAATATATCTATCAACTCCATCAGTTCCAAATGCATAGGATAGCAAATTTTGTTGTTCTGCTGCTTCATGACTAAAATATAAAGTTTTTAACTTTTAACCTTACCTATAATTTTCTTCCATACACTATGCTCCTGCAAATTTGATCCATGGGCTCAAACTTAAGCATGGTATTCTTGGAATCATCAAAATGTGAGATCAACTTTGCTTCCACTCGTTCTTTAAACCTTTGAAGGCGGTCTTTGTTTTCTTTTTGTCTTCTCTCGATTTCTTCCTTTCTCTCTAAAAATACATTACCATTGTTATTATTGAAAAACTTAGCATCTGAAGGGCGCAGAGGTTTCTAAGAGGTTAAAAATACTTACTTTTTATTATCATTCTTTCCTTTTCAGTTAAGGACGGAGGTTTATCCATTGAGTCCATGATAGAACCTAACAAGTCCATGGTGGATAAAGCAAGCAATAAAAAACTAGTCAACAAAATTCCAATAAATGCCCTACAAAAATACTAACAAATATGAAATTACAGCATAGCCATGGCACAAAATACTACCCCTTCTACTAGTCTGTGTTCTTAGAGAATAGAGCTGACAAAAAGAAGAGGAAACTTAACCATAGATCATACATATCTTTTCTATTTATACAAGCTGGGCAAATTGGCATGGCTCATTCGCGCCCTAGCGAAATCATTTCGTAAGTAACATTATGGAAGAATTACATTAGGAGTTGCTGTTAATATGTCTACCAGCGAACCAGAATTATATTTATATTTGTGAATGACTATGAAGCCACATGTGGAATCTGCTTAAAACACTGATCAAAAAGAACAAAGTTTATTTTACAGATTGTGGTAGTGGAATAATTAATATATTGTTTTCCTTTCAGTGAAATCTCATATATTAAATTTTCCAATTTCTATAGCATTTTTTCCAACTACTTCGCGTTAAAATCAAAAAAGAACGATCTAAAAACATTATCGGGTTTTACTTAATGCCTTGGATATTTAATTTAAGCACAATCACCAGGTAAAACAAGAAAGAGTTGTCATTTTAAAAATTATAATAATAATAATATACATGTTTGTAAACATAACCTATACAATATAAATACAACTTTTGAGGATAAATTTCTACAGTCACTTCGTTATTAATTAGAAAGAAACTTAAAGTTTTATTTATATAATTAAACCAAGCAAAAAATAACTCGGGACTAGTCTAGAGCAATTGGATGTTAATGCTTCAGCAAGACACCTAAATGCTCAAAAACAAAATGACTGCTGATCCAAATGCACCAGCGCAATTAACTATAGTTGGATTAAATTAACTATAGCACGATTATACAATGAATCACAATTTTTTTAGTATTTAGAACAGACCACGCTCATAGCAATACTGAAACATCCCAAATTTTTATTACCCGATCCTGACCAACTGTTGCAAGTTTCTTAGTGGTTTCATCTACACTCATCGCAAGTATGCTATGCTTTGCATCATGAAAAGTTGCAAGCGATGGTCGACTACAAAAGAATTGTTTTTCAGTGTCAAATGCTGATCTTGTAATCGACACTTACTCTTTTTCCTTTAAGAAATGATGACATGGATCACAAACTCTTATGGCAAATTCAAAACCCATTGACGGAATAGTCAGCCTTCCCATTGAACATCTCTCACATATTGCTTTGCCACAATGACGGCAATGATGCTGTCTCAAACCAAGCTGTCTCTGATCCATCATACCTCTATAATGCAGTATATCAGGAACTGATTAAAAATATAATGCTTCTTAGGTTAAACCTTAAATTCCAAAAAAACGGCCTTTTACACAATTGGCACACGTCAGACTCAATCCAATCTGGAGTTTCTTGTCGTGGTTGTACCATATCCCAAAAAACCAGCACACCATCTTCTCCAGCACTAATTAGTTGCTTTGTGGATTGAGAATAATGGAGAGCCGAAACCTGTATTACAAAGTGATTTTTATGCACGATATCTATATAATACAATAGTATATACATATAGATACAATATAATAATTACACCCTGGCATTACCGCTTTTCTTATCTAGAACATTCACTTTCAATCTGATAAGACTACCTCTCTCCGAAAACTTAATCTGAAGGGACATAGGTGCTTTACTTCTGTTGAATCCCTAAAAGCGCTCAATGATTTTTTTTGTCTGCTGTGCCCAAAATGTTTATCTGTTTATCTGTTATATGCAGGCTGTGTTTAGTAATTGAGGCTGCGTGAGTAGAAGTTATTTGCCTGTTGTACAAGTTTTGATGTTTGTTTAATGTGTGATTTAGTGCTTCTTATGTGAAGCTGGAAATTATGAGCTAATCTCTCTACTTCCTCAGAAGCATTCCTTTCTATTGAGATAGAGTATGTGAGTTACAATACAAACATATGAGTATCTACAAATATCAGCTAATAATGGAAAAAGTTAAATTGTTTCTTTTTTATCGGCACTCTCATAAAGATGCATTTAATGTCTTCAATTAATGAAAGTGGTACCATTTTTGTAAAGTTATATAAAATACAACTAAACTGAAGCTGTTTTATGGGTTTTGAAAGTTAAATTTTGCATTAATTTTGTCATTTGACATAGGCAACATCAACACATCTAATACATATAAATGCAGACAAACCTTATTATGATGACCTTGCAATTCATAAGCATGCCCCTGTCGTCCGCCAATGTCCCAAACTATTACACTGTGATCAAAAGAAGCACTATACAGCCTTTGTCTATCACTTTCCCAGGCAAGGGACCGAATTGAACCAGAATGGCCCTTGAGAGTGGTTATAACAGTCAGTCCATTGTTATCTAATTTAAGCATTGTGATCTGTCCTGAATAATCCCCAATGAAAGCATGTTTAGTTTGCGCATCAAATCTATCAGCATCATGTAAGAAAAAAAATCTTCATTTATGTGAGAAGAAAATAAAGAAATAATAATTAATAAATAAGTACGTGCTATTAACAAACAAACCAAAAAGGATACTGCAATGAGGTGCACCAAGCTTCGGCATTATATGTGCCAATATTTCTTCCAGTCTGAGTACAATTATAAGAAAATACTTTGTCTCTTCCAACACTTAAAACCCACTCGCAGTTTATTGAAAATATAATTTCAGTTACACGAGCTTGATGAGCTAAATATTCTCTAATAGGCATCATCCTGTTAAAATCAAATGCCAATGAAAACTCAGATACAGTCCCATTTTCTTGACCAATAAAAAGTTGTCTTGTTTCAACTGTGTAGTAAATAGACGTGGTTCCGCTAGGCATGTACTGACAAATGCTAGGCCAATATTGACCAGAATCCCTCTTTAAGCAGACTCTAACAGTTCTAAAATTAAAGTCAAATCCTTAATTAACTAGAACCTCTCAAAATTTTAACAGCTTATTATTGCAATGCAATTAATAAAAATGGGTATATTATTTACTGACTTATCATCGGACACACTAATAACACCATCCTCTCCTGGAATAAGGACGGCGGCATTTATTTCATCACTGCAACCATCTAGCTTTGCTAATAGTATTGGTTTTTTCGTTGTACAAAATTTATCGTTTGGTGGTGCTGCCGGTTTTATTTCTGCAGCCATTCCCCTATCTAAAAATATTTCTAGTTTCTTTATATTTTAAGGAAAAACCCAAAATTTCAATATCAAATTCTACCACAGAAGTTTGACAGTTAAATCTAATAATTTTAATACTTACACCATAGAACATCTCCTCCTACATCACTTGACTGGTGAATATTACAAAAAACACTTATCCATTACCCATTCAAGACATCTTTACTTTGGATCGCTGTAATTGGCCAATGATAGTTTGCTATCCTTAGATCACAATATTCCATATGCATGTACTTTACGCATACCGGATTTCACGAATTAAAATTCCAATTAGCTTCGACATTTGAGTTTGTCAAAAAAGTGTTTATTTACGGAGCTTCGATGCAATGCTTAACTTAAAACATAGAAAAGATCCAGCTTCCATAAAAAAACTGATGGTCTGTGTTTTTACATAAAAACCCATAGAAAAAATTAGTTTTCTTTCTGTGTGAACCGTGGAATTTGCAGAGTTTGGTTATGTCGGGTTAAGATATGAAAGTCAATCTTAGAAAAATTTTAAGTGTTTGATATAATATTCAATTATTATTCTGTACGAAAACAGAGAAAACTTGGGGTTAAGGATTTTTTTGTGCAAATTGCCCTAAAAGTTGTTTTGCTTATACAAATACAATTATTTTGGTGATTATCAAATATTTTTCAGATGCCAGCGGTACCAGGAGTGTATTCCCAACAGGGTCCCTCATGCTTTGATAAAATGAAAATGGGTTTTGTTCTAGGATTTTGCGTTGGTATGGCCAGCGGAGCTTTATTTGGTGGTTTTTCCGCTTTAAGGTAAATCTTTCAAATTACACAAGAAAATTGACATATTAACAATAATGATTTTGTACTGAGTATGAGTAAAATGATTATCAGAAGGTCGTCCCACTAAATTACTAATAATATTGAATGCTTTATTATTTGAAGTATCAATCTAGAAGTAAAGTTCCTGTTGATAAGCACATTGTCATATGATGAAACTAGTATTCCACAATTTAATGCTAAATTGAATTGTACATTCACTGTTGAATAGATTATTTTGTTCCCTCACCTAGGGTTACTGTTATCTACTGTTATTTTTTGTTTGTGTTCTTCGTACCATTCACATAAATTTAGTTTTGGTGGAACTAACAGGCAAGGTGACTTTGAAACTTTATATGCATCTATTTTTTAGTAACCAATTTTGTAGTGTGTAAGGAAAACATAACATTTCAGACATCTATTTTGGTTTGTATGTACGTAAAACAATTTATCCTCAACTAAGACCTTACATTGCTTTTAAAGTGAATTATAGCTGACTTATTTTATTTTAGGTCTGGGTTACGAGGTAAAGAACTTGTGAATACAGTTGGGAAAGTAATGTTACAAGGAGGAGGTTCATTTGGTACATTTTTAGCTATCGGATCTGGATTAAGGTGTTGAAACTAATATAAGACTGACTTTGGTTCAATTGTTTTATGTGCCTGCAGGGTTTGTTATTAATAGTCAACAAATTGTTTGTAGTATTAAAGTAAAATTACAAAATTATATTATGTAATTTAATTACTGCGCTCCTACAGTATTATCTTTAATGTTGAATATTGAAAAATTGCAAAGTAGACTTAAAATTACAAAAATTCAAAATACCATTAAATCTACAAAATTACCAATACAAATGAGGCAACTATTCCGTTCCTTCGCCAATCAAGCACCTTGCAAGCACTGCTCGTTACGTCAGAAAAACGGATAGATAAATCTTTGAAACTTGTCGGCCTATACTGTGCAGATGGAAGCGAACGTAAAATATTTCTAACTTACCGTACATTCTAAACCTCCTAACCCCACTTTAATCGACGCTGTCAGGGCAAAACAAAACTAATTTAATTTCTAATTTTGAATTTATCAGTTATGTCTACTATCAAATCTCTCTGAAATATCGTATTAGAAATGTGGCCACTATTACTAGATATGACCAAAGAAGAATCAATTCAGTGTCTTAGAAATTTAGGTTTGTGTCCATCAATTAAGGGATGTGTTTTTATTTGAATACATTTTAGAATTAGAAGCGTATTCTACACTTGTATCGGCACTGAGAGCACAAGGGCCTCTTAATCCAGAGAAAAGGCGCTTGTTAAAAGACACAGGTATTACATTAAGCATTACAAATGAAAGACATAAGGCAGAAATAAGAAGAGCTATTAATGATGAGAAACTAAATACAATTGCATATCAGTGAGTTATTTATGTTTTTAACTTTTGCTCTGATATTGTGACAATTTCTATTTAGCATCACAGGACAGTCAGCCACATTAGAAGATTGGGCCCAGGAAGGAAGAAGGCTAGTGCCCTTGTTACCAAGAGTACCTCCACAAACTTCTTATTCAGTGATTGCTGATGAAGTATCCGATGTAGCTGGTCAACTTAATAAACAGTTGCCTCTCCCTTCTCATACAGATAGAAAGAGGCCCATCACTACACAGTCCATGTCTGGAGCCTCACAAGAAGTTGCAATCAAAACACAAACTTTTCGAGTACCGGATGTACCAAAAGATGATATGAAGAAGCGTAAAATCTCTATACCTAGTGAAAATAGTAGTTTAGCTCAACATCTCTTGGGCCCTAATTCCGGAAACAAATTGAGTAAAATTCAACAAATATACAGGTAATGGAAGATTATATAGGTACAAAAACTCCCATTTGTATATTTTTGTGCTACCCGCTATTTAAGTAATATTGGATAGTATTTGATTTACCTTTAATTTTATATGTTAAAAATTTCTCAAAATAAAAAAGAGAGGGGCAAATCATCATGAGATTATAGGCAATGTCGCAAGAGTGGCAAATGGGAACTGGATCTTGTACCTTTCATCATACATCCCTTGCCTGTAACAGAGGATGTTGTATCTAAGTTCAGACAGATTACACTGGAGAACCAAATTTCAGTCCTCTGGTGTATATAGGACAAGAAGTAGGTAGACAGACATTCGATCCAGAGACCAAATATTTGGTACTCCTGATATAAATGTAGTGTCATTGTGCTTGCAATGGTAAATATTAATTTTGTCAAAAACTAGGTAATTTGGAATTTTATTATTTGCGAGGAATGAATTTGAATTGCAGTTTATGAATTTAAATTTATCTTTCAAGCAGACTGACGCCGGTAAAAAAAAATTATAATGTTGGATCTACACACTTAAACTATATAGTTTTTATCCTACTGCTTTATTGCATTAAGAATTTGAAATCCAGTTTGTCTTATATATAGCAATATCAAATAACAATTGTTAATAAAAATACTTATTATTTTTAAAAATTTTGAGGGAGTTATTATATAACAAGGGGGCATATTTCTTATAAACTTATAAACACTCAATCTTAATAGTAGCAAAAATTTTAAAATGCTAATTTATGGTTGGGTCATATTATATCGATCTAATTACCTGCAATAACTAACATCATTTAGTGGTGACCCTTTAGCTACTACTTCTGATCTGCAATATTTAATGTGCGAAATAATAATAAATAACTGCCTTTTTACTTTTCAGACAAACTTCAAAGCCATTTAAACCTAAGCAAAAAGAAATGGGGGGACCCTCAGAAATTGAACATGACTTTATACAACCTAATCCTGTACAACCATCATCCCATGCAAAACTGCAACAGAGCAATAGTCAGATCAGTCAAAGTGGAATGGGAAAGGTAAATATCATCCAAAATATTGCACTGCCGCCAGCAACACCTACGGATGACGGTTCAGCATCGACAGAAAGTGCTGAAAGGATTCCAATTTCATTTTCCAATCCAGCGAAAGTTGTTAGCATTAAACCTAATGTTGCTGTACCAGTCAATCATCCAGTCAAGCAATCTAGTGCAAGTACAGATCCAGAGAAAATAAGATTTGGTTCCCCACGACCCATAAACAAAGGTCAAAAGTTAATTGTGGTGTCCAATGCTCAAACCATAACATCCAACAGTATATTACAGAAAACACTATCTGTACCCATGAGTAAAGTAACTAAATTAAACTTAGACAAATTTAAAATTATTCCCTCCACCATACAAGTGACCGCGGTGGTTAATTCGCAGAGTACCACTCCAGCGAAACACAACGTGGTTACATTAAAATCCAATCATGGCAAAAAGGTGATACCTTTATCACATTTCCAAATGCTAAATTCTAAAGGTGGTATCAAGGTGCTGCCTTTGAGTGGTAAAATATTGGGAAAAACTGTCAGTGTGACTAGCAGCAATTCAATTTGTGTTCCTAAAGGTATAACCAGCATTAATAAAGTGGATGACACTACAAAAGCGTGCAATACAAAGGCAGTAATACAACCACATTTAGTTGAAAATGGGGTCCAACTCTTGGTTCCTGGAAATGATGCAGTTATAGAGGACGGTGACATTAAAACGCAACAAGCAGAGGTATTGTGTGAGAATTCTAACGAATCTAAAATCATTTGTGTGAAAGATGTTAAAGTAAACACTGAACTAGCACTGGAAAATGGGCTGGAAAGTGAAGCCGCAGAAGAGATAAATTCTGAGATACTTGCATCGCTGGGCAATAAGATAATTGAAAATGTTGAATACAACAAATCAATGGCTTCTGTTTAGGAATAATTGAAATATTTATATTTATTTTGAAATAGTAGTTTTTATTGTACATATTGAAAACCCGAGAAAGTTGTATATTTAAATTTTTTAAAACGCCTATCTTTTTTTTATTGATAAGGAATCTGGAAGCGAAGCTATTAAATCCAAACAAAAATAAAAATTAGCCTTTCAATTTTATTACCATACCGAAATTAAAAAAAATAAACTAAAGAAACTGATACAAATGTGAATAAAATTCATCTTATTCTTTTAAAAATATTCTGCTAGATGTTTTATTTTTATAGGAAAGAACTTTGTAAGGAATTACCATTTTTGCTGATATGATTATCCTAACATATTGCCTATTAATTCATTTAAGACTTTTGTATATAAAACAAATTGCTCAAATTATTTATTGACTATTCATAATTTTAATCTTCAACATTCATTTTTATGATGTTTGTTTTTTGTGGCTTTCACCAACTGATGAAAGAAATTTTTAAAGGTGCATCAAATTTTTTTGTTATGTAAAAAAAGGGAGAACAGAATTTATATGTTTGTTATTTTAATTATTTTAACCATAAATATAAATTTTCATAAATTCAGTGCTTCTTTTTATTGATTAATTAACATTGAAACATATATTGATACAGGATTGAAACAAAAATTTATATTCTACCATAAAAAATATTTGTTTATATATGTTATATATTAAGATACAGATGAAAGTTGCTCGTGCTGTGCCTCTTCTTGTTCCTCCTGTTTTTTTTTGGCATCAGGAATCCACAAACCAGAATCAATGCACCTTTGCATGTGGTACTTCGCTTCCTCTTTATCTAGCGCGCTTATAGTTTCTTGAAGTAGAGCAATGTCTTGTGACTCAAAGCATTTTTGAAGTTCTTTTGGCAAGGATTCAAACACTTCGACAGGATCAAGCCCACCAGGCCCTAACCGATGTTGCCTCTCCTGTTCTTCAACCTTCTGAGGAAAATATATATTGAACTATGAAGTTTCAAAGCAAATGCTCACTGGATCACATTTAACAAATTCTGTTCTTACCTTCATAGCTGCTTCGATCTTTTCTGCTGCCCTTTTTCTTATTCTTTCTTTGAATTCTGAAAGTTCATCATCAAATGATTGCCGATATTCAATTTCAGCCACTTGAATTTTTGTAAAGAATGCATCAACACAAGCCCTGGGATCATAATCAAGTTGTTTAGCAAACTCCAAAATATATTGCATGCAAATTGTTTGGTGTGCCACATGATTCATCAAATCATGTTTCTAAAAGGATAGTTATAAGGTTGGATTTGGTTGAAGAAACCTACTTACTTCTTCCATTTCCAAATTTATACACCATATGACTAAATAATTAGCGGTATTTTCACACACTAAATGTGGATGTTGCTTTAGAAACAATTTGGAATCATCATATTTCCTAAGCATGCCAAAGTGTTTAAGGTCCTTTTCATTTTCTTTAATAAATTTCTTCATTCTCTCCTCTTTTTCTTCTTCACTCAAGTTGTCTTCCTTGGGCCTGTTTGGGCTTTTGTTCACAATTGTTTTAGTAAAACCAGGTTTACTTATAGTATCTACATTCCATGGAGTCCGCTAAATGAAATAAACATTAATTTAATAAACATAATATGACAAAATCTAACAAACCTTCTCTTTCTTCTTCAACTCCTCTTCTTCCTTAAGCAACTTTTCTTTTTCAAGTTCTAATTCTCTTAGTTGTTTTTCCAAGTCTTTTGCATCAGCATTTTCCATTTTTAATTCATCTAATTTTTGCCTAATTTCCTTCAGTTTCTTTGCATTGGCAACTTTCAATTTTTCATGTTTTTCTCGTTCTTTCTCCATTTCTTCCATACGTTCAACTCTGGCCTGATGCCTCCAGCGGAAAAGCGAAGGAGTATCAATGTTTGGATGCGTCTCGTCTTCATCGTCTGATACCTTTTAACAAACAAAAATTAACTGCTTTGTGTACATATAAACCGCTTTTCTTATACGAAATATATAAAAGAAAGTCATCAAAAGGGATTCTAATAATTAAATCATACCTCAATATTTTTCCACTTGCTGTAATCTACCATGATTTTATTTCACTAAGGTGTACCCCAAGTATAATGCGAATTTATTTAATTAGTAAACAAACTTTAATTCTGAAAATTCTCGAATAATTTCTCAATCTGTAAATGTCAAAATAGGGAATTAATTCCTTCCATTGTTCAAATGAAATATGTCAAGAACAGTCGCTCATTACCGACGTCTGTGGATAACCTCCAAAAAAAAAAAATAATTTCCAATTCCAATAATCCAATTCACGTGAAAGGTAAGAACTCTTCGTTTTGTTATTGTTAAATCTTGTAAGCGCTATCCAATTTATACATGCATTTTAGGATTTATTTGTTTATGTTAACATTGCAGCGTGTCTGCTACAAGAAAATTGGAAGATGAAATTAACCGCAATTTTTTTTTGATTTTGTGTTTGCAAAATGATGGATTTTCGATTGATTAAAACATTACGAACTATTCGCTTCAACTTACAGCATCTATGTTGTGCTTAAAAAGAAGAACGAAGTAACGAGGGCACTAAGCACACCGCGGCGGCGGTTTAACCTCCGTTCGCTCCCTACAGAATCCTTTGTAATCGTCCAAAAATTTTTGAAATCGGTCTCCACTAGGTGGATTTAGTGTTTTCAGTGTTTAGTGAACGTTTTAAAGTGATAATCGTCACCGATCCCTACGCCTTTCCCCGTTCACGTCGGTATGGTGGCCTGCTGGTACGCGGTGGAGCGTGGGGGTGTCGGTTTTTTCGGTATCTATCAAAATTGTTTTTTGCTAGTTGAGCAAATATTGGTTATGTCTTCTTTGTACGTGTTGGTCCATGACCAAAAGCGAAGATCCTCGACGGAAGTCGGCAATGGGCGAATGATCCTAGCAGTCGCGCCAAACATTTTTTGTGAAACGCATAATTTAATTGAATTGAAACACACCACCGATTCTGTCGGGTACCCTCGACGGAAGTCGGCAATGGGCGAATGATCCTGATAGTCGTGCCCAATAGTTTTCTGTGAAACGCATCGATTCTGTTGGTGGCATTGTACATAGAGGTTTAACCTCCGCTCGCTCCCTACAGAATCCGGTGTAATCGTCCTTAAATTTTTAATATCGGTTCCAAAAGTGGATTTTTTTTCTGAGTGTTTTGTGAATGTTTCCAAGTTGACGCCGGTATAGAGGCCGGATGCTCCGGGGAGGCCGTTTTTTGCTATCGTTTAAAGATACTTTTCTTGTTGAAATCCATTTTCTATATATTAATCAACCTGGAGGATGATTGGTCTAGACCAATACCCTTCTTTTAGGAAGGCATTCTTCAGCATTTTTGTATTATGTTCACACTTGTCTAAGCTGGACGAATGTCCTATTGTAGTCTTGGCCATTAGAAGTAAATCCAATTCAATCCAAACACACCGTCATTTTGTAAAGCAGCCGTTTGAGATTGGTTTTTCGTATTGTAGCAGTTGAATAGGTTTAATATGGTTTGGGAGCACATAATAAATTTAATTCTCGGTGTATTTGAAGAGCCATTAATTTTAACCTTAAATGCATCGGTAAAGTTATGAAAACCAGCTATTTATGGTTGCTTTATACCAGGTAGTGGGATCTTCCTGATACTTTATTAAAATATTTTATAAAAATTATATTATGTAAATATGTTATTGTTACATAGAAATTTTTGTTAAGCAGTCAGTTAGGGCAGCAAGAGCTTTGATATTACTATGCCCTGTGTATTTTTGTGTACAGCTTTGTTTTTCAGAAGCATTGAGTAACAAATAATTGCTAGCTACGGCCAAGGATAGACTGACTAATATAAGTCATAAAAAATAATAATAATTATTTGGTTGTAGCAAATAATGGCTAGCTAGGACCAAGGATAGACTAACCAATAAAACCAATCAAATTTTTTTTTCTCTTTTACAGAATGGTGACACAGACGAATTAATTCTAGTGTTTCTCATATAGTACAAGTATGCGACAACCATCACATATGCTGATTAAATTCAATGTTTATCTACTGTACATTAAAATTTATTAAAGTTTGTTTTTTGTTTATTTGTTGGCGACTCAATTTGTTCTTTTAATGGTAAGCTTAAAGGAAGGTACAGTGTACATGTGTTTTGAAAGGATGTGCTTTAACTGCCTCTTTTGTTGCCTTTCTAGATTAATCCCCAAGCTCCTTAAATTTTTCTGGAAATTTGCATCCTTAGCTACATTTTGTAGACCAGAGAAAGTCTCTAGAGTGTTCACCTTCTTTGAACCTTGAAAATGATACTGCGCCATATGTCGAAAAGACATTTTGCCGTTTTGCATCTGATTCTTATTTTGTTTCCGTGCAGGCCTTCACATAGTGAAGTTAATTTATACTTTGCCGCATTAAACTCAAATTTAAAAATAGTTCGGAGCATAGTTTTTTTTTATCTTGTTACACTGGTTGTTCAGCTTGCCATTTTGTGATTTCAAATTTACCCCTTCTAATGCTAATCATCTTCATCAACCGGATCAGGAACGATTTTATCCACAAGCGGATGGAAAAGAAGAGTATAGGGACAACACCATGGGTACTTACCAGGGGATGACTCTCATTTCAGTCACGAGTATTACTGACACCCATTTCGCCGACTTTCAACTCAAGCACGACCTGTACATGTTGTATATTAAAATGTTTTTTAAATCATATTATTTTCTCAAGAGTGCGACTTTGTCTGATTTCTAAGGAACTAATTAGTTAACGCAAAAACGAATAAACGACGCCTACACCCTACCGATATCATTGTTAAACGCTGAATCCACAGAGTATAAGATAGAGGGGAAGGCTCCCATTAGTGGCAATGTTAAAAAGCGCACACGAGCTTCACGGTTCAATTCAGTTTAAAGTATGAAGGGTACAATGTGCTGTTATCCGTTACAACCTGCTGTAGTATTTCCAGTGTAACACATTACTTTAAACCACTATGACAGTACTTTAGTACTTGGACACAAATACTAGATAGCGTTCGTAACAGTATACGCGACCTTCGCCTCTATCTTATGCGCTTTGGCTGAATTCAATTAGTTGAAACAATCACCAGCGGATGACGCGCATGCGTTAATAGCGCCATCTCTTGTTAGTCACTGAAGTTAATTAGTGACCGCCAGCTTCATTAGATGGCGTTTAAAAGGCAGTGGCGCCACCTCCTGTCAGAGGTTGGAGACACCATAAACAGATGGCTTACAAGCAGTTGTGGAGCTATCTGTCGTTGAACTATAGAACTAATTGGTGGAAGCGAGCACCAATAGATTGCGAGCATGTGTAATAGTATCTTCATCTTTTAAACAATTAAGTTGATTAATTTTGGCAGGCGTCAATAAGGGAATACTCTAAAGTATTTCAAGGGATTGAAGAGTGAAAATGCTAAAGAGGGTATGTGCCAAAATTACGTTTTTGAGATAATCGAAAGAAACTGTTTAAATTTATAATATTATAATTGTCGGTGTTCGTAAAAATCAGGCAATTACGACAGACACATATTCCTTTTCTAAGGAGATGCTACGGGGCATGTGCGACAATTCTAACAAAATGTTAATATACGTGCTCAGTAAACAGTCATATATCGATTATCAATTCTTCAGGCTGAGTAAAGGAGCAAAGAAACCAGAAACCTTTGCAACGCCCCATGTAATGTCCTGTGTTCTGAGTTTTCAAAAACTAAATTCTGTTTACCCCTAAACATAAGCGTATGAATATGACAGGATTCAAAACCTTAAACAAACAAGATCAGATCTCCTATTAAAAAATAATTATCTTAATATAATACAATGTGCGTGTAATACAAACATTTTTTTATTTTCTACAAGATGTAGTCGCAGATTTCCGACGCCTCGTGTTTGGTTCTCTTAACAAACAGCGACTTACACACTTAAGGTAACTTCACCATGCAGAATAATATGTTTGTAAATATGTGATTTTACATTTCGTTCATGTTTTTCTATCCCAATGATGGCCAGATTTGCGACTTTCTTTGTTGTAATGTTATCAATACGTCAATAAATCCCGCAGCATAGCCTCATTTAGCTGTAATCAAAACAAAATTTAATTGAAAATAAAAAAAAGTGTTTCCCCTACGCCACCTTATACCGATATAAAATTGAAACTATTTAGTTAAATTTTCGTAAATACACCAATAATACTAAGATTAGTTTACAAACGCGATCTAAGTTCAAAGCGAACTGCTTAAAACTTCCAAAACTTGCAGGAGAAAAATAAAGCAAAGTAGAGTTACAACCCATTATCTAGAGAATACTGAGCATTACTTATTAGCGTTTTTTACCAAATTTACCAAGGACACTTGCCCATTACCGACATCCATCGAGAGTTTAATCTCTAACTCTGACGTCACAGAAGCGAAGCATTAAGAGGAAACCAGGATTTTTTAGTAAAACCGGAATCAGTGACAAAAAAAAGTTGAAAATTGCATAAAAAACTGCGAACCATGGGAGTGCGAAAAATAGCAGCATTTAAGAAAGGAAACAAATGGAGCATACCGCATTATTTACCTTTTCTCAACTAAAAAAAAATACGTAAGAGAAACTGAGACAAAACTGGGAAAAGGTATAAGGTATAAAATGGTGGAGATAAATACTTTTGCCTTGTCCGTGAACTACAAATAATATGCAATATAACGAATAGTGGAGAAGAATAATCCGCCTTGTCCATTAAAATGTTCACTTCACTTTTGTTGGTGGTTGGATGACATAAAAAATGGTAGATAAAATTAATTCGCTTTTAAATAATAAATAAAACAGATCAATTATTGGTTCATTTTTCTCAGTAGCAATTTGATATGTACAGTGCCAAAAAGAATTAATTGAACGACTCCGTTTCTTAAAAAATTGGAATTAAATCTATGCCCACATTATTTAATTAAAATGTCCGAACACCAAAAACTATAGGTTATTGTATCAAAATTTAAAAAATAACCTTTAAAATTGACCAAAATAGTCAAGTTTCGAAAAAATATAAACATGTCTATCACCAAAAAATTACCAGTTAAATATATATGTACATGTAAAAATTAGATCGCGTCAACCCGATTTTACATTTTACCTGTTCTCAGAAGGGTTTATTTTACGTGTCGCCACCATAGAATAGAATGATATATTAAAGTACGTAATGAGTCCCGTAATGTACCCAATATTCAATTTTATAAAGTATATTTAATTTAGAAGTAGACTGAAAGTAATGGATACTCTTTTCTTTGTCATACACGTAAATACTAATGACCGTAATTGTTTTATATTACTTCTCAGTTTTTCTCACTGTTTTTTTTGTTAAGGTAAATCGTTTGTTAGAGGGTGAAATCCTTTTAATCGTTTATTTTCTTTTGAACTAAGCAGTTGTGATTTATTTGGACTGTTTTTGCCAGTGATAATATTATGTATGTAGAAAGCTATTAATAATTTTATGCTGATGTTAATTAATAAACGTTTTTAAAATGGTAAATTGGTGTGTTGCATCTATGCTATTTTTTCCGGCGAAGCAGTAACATCGCATCGCTAAAAATATATTAGATTATGAGACTGTCAAGTAGTTACCAAATTTGCACAAACTTTTGGCAGTAAAATTTTTGTTTAATTGTAATTGATTAAAAAATTTGTTGCAAACTTCCAGACACTATGAGACATGATAATTACCAAACTGAAAATTAATGTTAAGTAATTTGTACCTATATTTTAATTATATAAATTTCTAATCTCAGTATAATAAGTAAAGAATCATAAACCTCGCAAATTGCGCTTAACATGGCAATTATTAACATTCCGTTTATCGTTGAATATAAACAGGGACGTACCAAGTGATTCATCGTCTATCACTTCAATAGAAAACTATTAAAAAAAAACAGTTATCCCTCCTGCTGCGTCAAAAAATCTTTTGACATCATGGTACGAATTATTTTACTTATATTTACTATTACTATTACTAATAAAAAATGGGATATTTTTAGTTTGATTATTTCTTTATTTTAATCCAAATTGATAAACATTAATTCTTCTAATATGAACACAATATAGCTAGTACTACTTTTATGATCTGGGCAACTTTTTCCTAATTTTGAACTAACTAAAATTCTGTTTTTTTTTTCAGAGACTTCCCGTACGTGTTTCCGTTTATTATTTCGTAATTAAGATTTTGTCTCTCGCATTATGACTAAATAGAGGATGAATCTCGAACTTCTTTGCGTCTGCCTTCTAGTAAACATTTATTTTGATTTAGAAGTTTCTCTGGCTTTTTGAATATTTTTCGTAAAAACTGCAGGACCGTATTAGAGAAATCGATAGATATATTTACAACCGAGCAAACGTCCCTTTTGACATAAAATTTACAATATATCAAAAATGGAAAAGCTTGGGTGTTAATTGAAATATGTCTAGAATTTCCGAGGGATTAAGGAATGTCTTAATACAGAGTATTCTATGTAGCATAAGAAAAGTTACCTCCTGAGGAGCGACTGAAATGAATAATTTCACTTGAATTTAGGTACACCCCAAACGGAGTACTGCAGCACTGCATTACTATTTGGGCATTTCAACTGCTGTTACGTCCCTGGTTATAAACATAGAAAGCATACAAAACACGTTTCCAAACTACTCGCGAAGGCCCCCTTCCACTGTTTGTACCTGTCTCGCAACTCCTATACTGCCGCACCGCACAAAACAGTACCACGTAGACAAATGACTCATCCAGGTAAAAACGTTGTATTACGTATGGCGTACCCTGAAGGTAACAGCTACTAAATTCTTGATTTGGCGCACCTGTCGCATCCTGGGTGTTATCATCAGCGCGGAAATTAAAATGTGAAATTGCAAAGCGTACTATAGTGCACAAATGGCGGACGAATCGATAATAGGTTTGGTGGTTTTGGTCGTACTGTGCTGCGGGGTTTTGGTGGGCGGTACTATTAGTGTAAACGGGTCGATATGTGGTCAAAAAACGTGCAAAGTAGGACAGTACTGCACGTTTGACAAAGCGTGCGAATCGTGTGCTCAGATATGCAACGCATCCCATCACAATTTCGAAAAGCAGCTTTGCGAAGAAAAGTGTCAAGGTATAGACATTTTTGAAAGCATCTATGACCTTAAATTACTGTGTGAACGTAAATTTTTGGATATTAATGTGCCATACGTACTTGTTTTCCTTTCTTAAAAACGATCTAGTGTTCCAAATTTCGCATTCTTTATCAGCAAATTCGAGGATTTCTTCATAAACGTCGGCAAAAAACTCCAAAAATATATCCGTAAGAGGGACACAGGCTTTGATAAAAATTAATAAATACGAATTAACAAACAAAACGAGAAACGTATAGCATTTTTATTACGCTTCAAATAAGAACTTTATAGTGATAAAATTTGCCAATCACAATCAGTATGTAAAATGCTTTTTGTGAGGACCTTTTGAAAGAGAATTCTGGAAAGTAATTCAGCTTATTATATTTATAAAGAGGCGATTAAGTCAAACGAGCCTGTTTATCTATAATATACAGCAACTCCATCGAAAAGTAAAAATAAAAATAAGATGAAATAGAGCCATCAAATTTTTTTACACTTTCTATTATCCTTCCTATATTAACAAAACGTTTTGCGATATTTGGAAAATTTCAAAAACAAAAAATGCTTAAAAAACTTGACACTTATTACGCATATTTGACTGTAACTGGTTGATAACTAGTAAATTAGTGTTCATAATTTGTTAATGTGCTTTTCTACGTTTTATTTAGACTTTTTTGTACATAAAATATTTGGGATTCACTAAGTTTATAAAATCGAAAGTTCAATATAATAACGGTAAAAGTATACATATCCTAGTTATTAGCTCTATGGATAGATAATATAAACTGCAGCGAAAAACAAAAATTGAATAATTAAAATTTTTACAGATTACCTTCATGACGCAAGATACGTTCACAAAGAAGATTATGACGATCTGAAAGGTAAGGTCGCTGATAAAGTTTAAATATTTGAAAAGGATTATAGATCTATCGAAATTTACTCTAGACTAGAACATACCAAAATATTTTCTCCAAAACCCCAAATACTGATTTAACATGACAAAGCCTAAGAAATTAAAAAACCTAAATCCCCTTATGAAAACTCGCCAAAATAAAGAAAAATATAATTAGTTTATCCAGCCTACCGGTATTTTTTTTAACGGACCTGTTGTAATGTTTAAGCATTTTTTGTAGGTACTGTGGGAAAGCTTTCGTCCATGGTTTCCGCGACTCTGACGTTGGTATGTTTCATGCTGATAATACTAGGCTGTCTTCTATGCTTCCAATTGTATCGGTGGAAAGTTAAAAAGAACATCACATTGGAAATTATTCGCAATAAAATATTTGGCTCAGTAAGTATCGTAGAAGTATCAATTTTTTTTCAACCTGATTTGGATCAATAGAGTTTGTTATCCCAATTAATTGTCTTTTAGTTTTTGAAAATTGCGCGTTAAGAACTGGTGCGTCTAATAAGTCATTAAAATGTTACGGTTTGTATTTACGTTAAAAAACATATTTTAAGTCAAGTGTGCACGTCCATAGACGAACAGTCAAATGCACAATTTTTAGGGACTCAATAGAACGCTTTAACACCCTGTATTTTAAAACCGGAACATTTTAGAACCTTTACCTACATTAAGATTTATACTTATTTACTTACTTATGGATCAGCACAATGTCATTTGTTGATTTTCAGAAAGGGGATAACGTAGATTCTCCATCTTCCAACAGTGTGGGTGATGACAATAAAAAACGCGACTTGCGATTGGAAATGCCGTCTCCTACGGTTCATTCCGGAAACAGTCCCGTTACAGTTTCGACGTCAATTAGTAGAAGGCCTGCGGAAGACAGCACACTTGATTATGCCTACGACAATCCGGCAATGGCGAAAACCCCCAACAGTTCGTTTTAATTAAAATGTTTTGTTTTTGTTACTGTTTGTTGCTTAGTTGTTAGTTAGCGCTAACAGCGCGACGCTTGCAGTAATACGTAGGTAGATGCCAATGACATTGTATCCCAAAGAGACTAATAACTTCAAAGTCTAAAGACCCAAAAAGGTCTAAAAATCGCTTTTTAGTTTCCATAGCATTCCCACAGGTTTTAATGGAACGTTAAACTGGAAAGTTAATTGAATTAATTTGCTTGGCACGACCTATTTTTTTTTCTATATTTGTTGGTTGTTTTCACTTAAATTCGAACTAATTACAACAAAGGACTGCATAAGAGTGAACAACATAATGTTGAGTTTTTAGCTATAGGTTTTAAACCAAAGGTGTTGTCGCGGTAGCTAAGGCTTAATGTGTCTATATCCACAGCTATTTGACGTTTCGTATAGAACTAGATTTTAACTGTCAAATATGATCTGTTGAAATTGAGAAGGTTCAGTTTGGAAAATTCTAATTTTCTCGAATACTTATTATTTGAAGCATGAGTTTTGGTTGGTTCGGAACAAATTGTACAAAACACAAAATCAAAGGTCTGGAAGTGCTACCGAAGGACTAGAAAAACGACATCATTGTGTTCTGGGCAACTGCCTATTGAATAAATTTAAATCATTTGTCTCAAATTAAGTAAAAAAGAATATCGAAGTGGGTTTAAAATATTACTTTGTCGATACGACTTCGGATATGACGTCAATGGTGGCAGTTCGATTTTAGAAAATCCTACATTTTTATGTTTAAATGTGATGGTTACGACCATGTTCTGTCTTCAAGCTCAAGTCAAGTGAAAATATTACGTATTAGCTATATCAGTTTCAATGGTTCCTTTATTCTGCTGTCTTTTATATCTTAATTGGTTTTTTATAAATGTCCTTGAAATTATTTGTGTCAAAGCGTATACTAGAAGTGTCCTCAAAATTGAAGTGATTTGATTCAACACAACCAAAAAAAGATCCTCAGAAAATTTGCCTACTGACATTTCCTTGAGTTGTCTTTGTTATCTGAACAAAATAGAAAAACATCACAGCAATACTAGCGATATTATAAGAGGATATTTTTTTTAGTTTTAGTCGATATCGTACTAAATATTTTTTTGTAACTAAGAGTCATTCTTAATAATTTTATTTATATTTTAAGATATTTCCGTTCCACTTTCGTTTGGGCATTGTGCAATGTTGGTTAACTCAAGTAGGAACCCGTCGCAAACCCTCAAGTTTTTCCCAAACCTCTGGTAAAGCTTGTGGTACTCATGCTAGGTTATTTAGGTATCAATGTAAAATAAATATCTGGGAGAGTGATCCCCCTCATAGTAGCAAAAAATGTATAAAAGTGGTGACATAATGTTTTATTTTTGATGCAGTAATTTTAGTACACACGTATATGCATATATCATAGCTTCACTTTCAAATATTTTTTTATTTAAAGGAGAACTTCCACTCCCTTAAAATATCTATCTTACTTTACGTTCGAAGTGGGCAAAAAAGGATGTTCTGTAGGTTTCTATAGATCTCGGTAGCTACAGAAGCTACGGCAAAAGCGGATTGCACATTCTCGATCGCTTTTCTTGAGAAGAATTGAATGGTGAGAACCAGAACTCTCTATTGTCTTCTGTTTTCGGGCTATATCAACAAGTTGTTTAGGATTTCGATTTTTTTTTCGCGTTTTTCAAGTTACCAAAATGGATATTTACGCTTTATTCGGGCACATTTTTGGGTAGAATGGAAAAGTCTTAACAAATTTAATATCTTCATTTGTTTTTTGGTCAAAACACTAAGATGTATTTTGTTAATATGCAAATCATAAATGACATTTAAGTCCTACATGGCGAATAATCAAAATAAAAAGAAAAGTCTCGCGCGGCTATGACAATATTAGTTTATTTTGGAAAATGATTATAAAATACACAATTTATATATCGTTGAAAGAAGAACAACACTGCTTAATTTGTTTATAGTCACCTATGAGTGGCGCATATGTATATAAAAAATATTTAGGATGGAACCATCAAAAAACCGATTTCTTCAATATAGCTTTAAAACAACAGATGATACCGAGTGGTGATTTTCACTATGTAGTCTATCTTACAAGGCAATTGAGAAAGTGCCATCGATTTTACCATAGCCATTATAATTACTGAGATCTCCTACGAAAACATCTATATTTGACGACTTTGTAGAACATTTATTGGGTTTCATATCTGCGGCGCAGTTTTACTTAATTATATTCACGTACTTAATTATTATGGCTGTAGAATTACCTAATCGTATATTTTAATTATAGCTGTAGAATTAATTAACCATACATATTAATTAACGTTAGTTGTCAAACCACAAACCCACGAACTTTTTGGTGTAGATAGTTTTAATTAGTTTTTATATGTTATTGTTATAGAGACCAACATTCTAAGGTTCATCATTTCCGTCCATACGAAACATTCCATTAGTTTGTAATAATTTGACTGATTTCTAGTTTAAACTCATGAGCGTGGACTCTTTCGAACTTGAAGTAATTAAAACTTGCTTCTGAAAGTCTCGAGTCGGTCTAAGTTGAATGGCGCATTGTTAAATACAACTCGAATCCGATTGTTATCTTTCCAAACATTTAATATTCTACATTTCTGCTATTCAGGCATAGAGATTTTAATGAAGTCGTGAAATTTAGTAAGTCACGTGAAATGTTCAAAGGGTTATGTATTACTTAATATAAGGTATGTGTGAATGTGTATGTGTCCCTCCCAGAAACATTTCGATATATTACGGGATTTTTTTTTAAATCATCCGTAGTAGGTGTGAACTTGCTTATCTAACTGTTTTTGAAATTTAATATTATACAATACAATAATATACAATACAATTTACACGATATTCCACGGTCGTCAAGGGTCATTAGAGCAATAAAAAAAAAACACATTTACTTCTACTACTTCCCACTGAAAACAACATAAATTGCTCTTAGAAATATGTTTTTTTCATAATAGACCTTTTCGGATGACAGCCCGTCTGTGTATTGTTTTATTTTGCTTGCAAGTAACATATTTAAGGAAAATTGCTTTTGTCTGAGTGATAAGTAATACAATACAATAATACCAGCTGTAAGTATTCTATCACAGACAAAGATGCACATTTTCATCAATCGTTAGGATTTGCAAAAAATGAATTGTTCAATATAAAATCAATGTCTAGTCGTATATTAATTTTTTTTTATCATCATTGCATTATTCGTAAGTTTTAATTTAAAAAAATATTTAGGAAGCGCGCTTGGCCAGTTTTTATGCTATCAGACACGAAAAATTTGAGTGCGATACGGGCGGAATGACAGTACCGTTTTATTTAAGAATCAAATTGAAAGGTGTAATTTTTAAAGTAAACACTGGATTTTCTTGTATTTGTTGCATTTTAATGATAAACATTTTACTTTCTTCTTGGAGGCCGATTGAAACGCATACTGGTCGCATTTATATTACGTGGACGAAAATTAATTAATATCGATAATTAATGAGCTGAATAAATATCGACGCATCCAAATCGAATACGGTATCGCAAACGTGGGCGCAAACTATAAATTAGATTTTCGGTGCTAATAACAAAATAAATGAAATATTGTTATACGTGTAAATTAGTAAAGTCGTAAAGTTAGATGAAGTGTTTTATTTCGCAGTTGGGTACAATAAACTAGTCGAATTGATAAAATTGTATCAATAATATTAGACTTTGGAATGACGTCTATTAAGCTACTTTAAGAACTCTGGTCATTTCATACCAAATGTCTTAAACATTACACGATGAAACTAAAACATTAGAAACAAAGTTTATATAAAGGCAACATTTTAGTCAATTAAGGTGGGATAAGATTTTCTATACCTTTAACGATTTTGTTAAACAAAAACGGATATTTATCTTGATAAAAGAATTTAATTATTTTTTTCTGGATATTTTATGAATGGAGATGCAAAAAAATTAGTTTTTTATCAGATAATGATAAAGGGCACCTTTGAATACTTCAATTCAACTAACGTTAAGTTAAAGCGAGCCGAAAAGTTTCAGTATAATTAAAACTGTTAAACTATCAGCTTAGAATTTACTCTAATCCTTTGTAATACGTAGGTTGATGCAAAGGGGTCAAATTAAATTAGATATCCCGGAAACTTGTAAGACAAGTTTACGTAAAATATAAGGTTTGTAATTGCTAACACATCCAAGGTACATCGCCGATAAATTGCTTAAATGGGGTAAATTCTTAACTGGAAATTATGAAATAACTAATATTTACTAATATCTAAGACTGCACGCGAAATAAATTAATTCAGCGCCAAAACCTGTTATCGCGCCAAGTAAACAATTCAATGATTATTATTGAAAATCCATCTCCTGATTAAACGAATAGTTTCGTGGTGACATTGGTGTTTGTACAATACTTAAACTCTTACCAAGGATTAACGAGATGTCTCTAGCCCGATGGGTCGGAAAAGTAGCTGTTGTGACCGGAGCCAGTTCGGGCATTGGTGAGGCCATTGCGAAGAAATTAGTAGAAAATGGAGTTACGGTGAGCGGGTGCTTAGGACAAACACTCTTACAGTAAACACAGTAAAATAAATGCTACAGTATTTGCATTTTACATCTGATAGCAATTTTTTTCACTTTACTGTTTAATTAGTGTAAATAATTGTCATTGCCTTTTTGGTGATATCGATGAGGTCATCATTTTATTGGCTTGTTGTAAAGATTTTTTGATACATTTTCGGTAATTCATCGTGATATAATTTATAATGTCTGGTAAACCAAACTAAACCTCTAATATTACAGTCACGTGCAACAACATTTTAGTTTTGACTTTTGAGTATTATACGGAGTGTCATTAATATAGCATTTAATTTATTTTGGGCAGTACTATAACGTAAAAGTTAAATAATAGAGCATAAGATACACTTGCTACTGCCGTTAGATGTTAGTAGCTTACATTCCTCGTATATTATCCATAAACAATATGTGAGCACTGTAATAAATAACCTACCGGACTTACAGCAGAAGATATTATGAGTTCTTTCTTAAAAGATCACCATAGGGCTCTACTTCCTATGCATGTATTTAACTTACTGAGTGATAAATACTAAAAATCTACCACGATAATATATATTTTTTCCCAGTTTTCATATATAGAATAACGGATAACGAATAACGAGTTTCGACGATTATTATTGATGCTTATTTAGCTTAACCTTGGATTGGTTTATCAAGCTATTAAGCAAAATGCAAAATTTTAATACTCAAGGAAAATCTACTAAGCAGAGAATTGATTACGTTTGATACGACATTCTTCCAGCTGATAATGTGATATCGATAGTTTCAATAATTCTTCATTTAAAAAAAAATATACTTTTTTCGACCACTTGCTATAGGTGGCAGCTTTAGCAAGAAGGGATGACAGGCTCAATTCCCTGGCCAAACAGCTAACTGGTGAAAAAGGAAAGTTATATCCAGTGAAATGCGATGTTCGCGAAGAAGAGAGTATAATATCAGCATTTCGGGAAGTTCGTGAGAACTCAGGGCCAGTCCACATTTTAGTAAATAACGCTGGACTAACGCAAGTCACAAGTCTTATTGACGGCGATGCAGACAAATGGAGAACGATTTTTGGTTTGTTCGTTTACTTTTCAAATATTTAATGGAACGTCAAAGCTATTTATTTAATTCACTGTCGTTTCAATATCGTTTCAGACACAAACGTTATGGGTTTGTGTATCGCCACCAGGGAGGCGGTAAAAGATATGAAAGCCAATAAAACCGACGGACACATAATCCATATCAACGGTACCGTTGGATATAAAGTTTTGGATATTCCCAAATTTAACGTTTACCCTGCTTCCAAATATGCCGTAACGGCATTGGCAGAAACGCTAAGGTACGAGTTGAATGGTGAAGGGCTTAAAATAAAAGTGACGGTAACTATTGAGATCGCCAAAAATTTTAAACTGCTGCAGTGGCTGGTATTTGTAATTACAGGGAATCTATCCCGGATTAGTCCAGTCAGAATTTGCAGAGAAAGGATTGTTAGGCGAAAATCAAGTGAGTTCAAAAAAGTAATTTCTACCCAGCTAATATATAAATATAAATATAAAATTGAATTTAATATGTTAACCGTTTCTAACTATCCACGTTGTGATATATAGATTTCAAAACTAACCTAAAAAAAAGATCAAAAATGTTACACACAAAACATTTGCAATGGAATTACATCTTGTTAGATAAAAATAGCAATATAGTGCACCAAAAAGTCTGAAAATTATAGTTTAACAGGATATTTAAATGGAAAAAAATGATTGTTGGGACGTTGTGCCATTTTACTTTATATTTTCTTTTATTCTCGCATCGAACTGGTACAAAATGCAGAGTGCAGCTAGTTAACCGAAATTTCCATCAAGATTAAAGTAAGAAAATAAGAATAATGTAAAAGGAAGGTGAAACTAGAACTACGGAATATCATTTAAGTCAATGCCCTTTTAGTTAGAAACTACACTCAGTTACGTTTCTTAATCATATTTACAGAGTGTTCCTTAATGGTAGTATCAATATTGAAGGGAACAATTGTTGACCTAATTTTATCAAAAAAAAACTCATGTGAATGTTAGCTTCGTAATTTTAAAGATACAGGGTCGTAAAATTAAAAAAAAAATCATCTTAGCAACGATTCTAGATGTCTTTCTGAAATTTGGTAAATGCCTTTTGTGCACCAAGAGGAATTTTTGGATGCAGGTTGTAGGACAGATTTTCCATTTTTTTATGTGTCGCCGACGGTTGAAGTAGTAATCTGCAGGATTTGTAGAACCTGTAATTGTTCATTTTGGATGTTTCAGAGAATTTTTTCAGCAAATTTCCGGCATGTACTATGATACTGAATACACAAAGTTCCAAAACCGTAACAGCAATATATAGTAATATAATTTTACAAATAATAATAATCGTAAATTGAGAAGGCAGACTATTATGCAAACGTATTATATAAAGAATGGGCATGCAATACAATACGTTTTGGTTTATAGTTTATTTTGTTTTATTTATTTGAGTCTATTTTCCTACTATAAATAGAAAATGTATTTTATAATTTCAGGATCCCCATTTGGCGGAGGTTTTGAAGGTTTTGCCTAAAATATATCCCAGCGATGTAGCCGATTCGGTGATTTATGTTCTCTCCACCCCTCCTCATGTCCAGGTAAAATACACTCTATTTCATTTAAAATATCACAGAGTGAGTTTTACGATTTGAACTTTTTAGGTGTCGCAACTCCGACTATTTGCAGTTGGTGACAAAAATTAAAAAAGCATGGTCCCCCTAAAGGAAAAAGTTTGGTCCATGAATAACTTTACCACATTTTCGGTTAATGCGTAGAAACAACCTTTGTTAATTATTTAATAAATATAATAATAACACCGGTCATCTGATAAGAACTTTTAATATCACCGCAAACCAATTTCTTTGAAAAACGTAAGCTATTTGCAGAGATAAGTGCAAGGATCAATAAGAAAAACCTTGGAAAAACTAACGCCTGTAGGGCAGATTTTATAGGTGGTGTTCAATTAACAATTACATAATAACTTATAGTAAGATAATATAAGGACTGCACTAGTTGTATAATAAAGTATAATATGGTATAGTGTATAGTAAAATTGTTTGGCATAATCAAGACATTAACGAATAATATGATTGACCACTACTAATTAGAAGATCGTCCGTTATTATTAGTTGCTTTATTCTGTGACATATGGTATATACAGCGTTGTTAAATCGGGCCCTTTTGAGGGGAAACTCCCCTTTTTCAAGGAGATAGACAAAAACTGGTTTAACCAGCTTTAATGGTAAAAGCGGCACATGGATATCTGTTTCCGTTTCAGAGTTATAGGTGTTTTTCAGAAATTTTAAACAAATCGATGTACCTTTTTTGTTATGAAAACTTTTCTGTTCCTATGAAAACATTTCCCGAGCAACATGTTGCGTTCTAAGTTATCTGTCCTTTTTGATAAATTTTTGCGTTAAATTCAGTATCGGCACGAGGTTAGGTCAAGAAGCTACCAGAACTTATTTTTAAAAATGGACATAATTTATTATTTTTTATTGTGGTTGCTATGATGAGTATGTGTGTAAGTGTGGAGCAATTTTCAACATTTTTTATCAATTTGAAAATTTGTTCTCACTTTATTTTTATTTTAAATTTTTTTTCTGTTATATTAAAAATTGTGTTATATAAAAGTCAGCTAGGATCGTTTTGGTGAATTATAAAATAAAGATTGAATGATATGATTATTCTTTAAAAAGCAAGCAAAAGTATGCAACACGTTTGATAAACTTCTAAGTCACTCGTTTACAGTTTACCGCACTTGTTGCATAATATACTATTTTGTGCAGTATCTATTTAGGAATTATCTATTAATCGGTCTTAAAGATCGCCTTTTATATAATATATAAGAGGTAAGTCTATGAAGCTACCGTGAAAGTTTGTTTAACTAACCAAAACCAACCAACATGGCAGCTACCAAATGTTTAATGAGTTAGGATGCCGCATTTGTACGGTAGAACTTAAAATTGGAAATTCAGGCAAAAGAAGTTAAGTTTGAAGATTTAGAGGCATGCGCCGAAGAATACTTACCATCTAACAGCTATATGCCCACAACAAGGTCAATTATTAGTAGAGTCCATGTTGTCTTTGTTAACATTTCAGAATTATTCTATTATGTATTAGCGGTTTCAGAAAATCAAAAGGCATTCGAAAAAAAAAGACCGAAATTGGCATGTGTATATGTAGGCTCCAATTTGGGTTATAAATTTGGGCTATTGGAATATGAATAAATGAAAACCAATTGTTACTAAACCTAGCTACAAAGTGATGAAACTATAAAAACAATTTGTGTTTGAAATTAATGCGTTCAAAAGTATTCTTTTTTCTCTCCAAGTTGCGCCAGATTACAATAGAAAATTATGAAATCGTCTGCTTTAAACTTTCGCACCAATTTTATATATATATTTATTTGAAAACACTAAAATTTCTCTGTCTGTGACTTTGTTTAAACCTTATTACTCGTTTCGAAGATACAGTGAGTTAAATAATTGGTCCACTCTAATTAAAATCGGCACGCCAATGAGTCTCAGACATAAATTTTGTTATCGAAGTTATAGCTTACAGCAAGGCCCCGTTGCGGTAAAATGACTAGAATTTATCCTATACTGCTTTTAGTTAGAAGTTTTGGTTAGTCTTGGCGGCAATGAGGTAGCGGACGCCTTAGCCAGGGAGGGCTCCTCGCATAGGCATATAGGGCCAGAGCCCCGCTTGGGGATCGCCCCGTGTGTGAGGCGGGGAGCTCTCGAAGCCTGGGCGAGAGACCGGGCCGCGGGGGGCTGGAGAGTTGCTCCGGGAATGAGGCAGGCGAGGCTTATGATGGATGGGCTCGCCCTTCCTCGGACCAGGAAGCTGCTTAGACTGACCAGAAGGGAGTGTAGAGCACTAACAGGGGCCTACACAGGACATTGCAGGCTTAGGAGGCATCTTTGCTTGCTAGGCATTGGAGACGACCCGGAATGTAGGTATTGCATGGAAGGGGAGGAGACCCCGTATCATCTGCTCACCGAGTGCCCTGCCTTGACATGGGCAAGATTGGGAGTCTTCGGAACGGCCCTGATCGATCCGGACTCAGTGCACGGTATTGGGCTAAAGGAGTTGCTGACCTTCTACAGGAGGGGCGGCATTCTGGACGCCCTCTAGAGCGGCCTGGGGGCACAACGGGCCCATCTGGTGGCCTAAGTGCTTGGACGCCCGCGAGGGCGCCCCCCTTTAATACCAATACCAATAATACCAATAGTCTTGGCGCCTTTTTGTAAGTTTTTCGATCTTGATTTAAAAAATTGTCTTATATCTGCATACACTTCACCACAACCTTGCAATAGTAATGAAACCGAACGCACTTGCCACTGTTGTCCTTCCTTATATTCAAAACATCACTGACCACATATCAAAAGTTCTAAAGAAATATAACGTCAAAACCAGATTTGTCTTGTCCAAAAATCAAAGACAAATTCCATTTGAGATGCCAGGAGTTTACAGCATTCCATGCATATGCGGCAAAGAATATATTGGAGAGACCGGACGAAAAATATCAACTGGGCTCAAAGACCATGAAAGAGCTTTAAGACTAAGAGGAATAAACTCATCAGCAGTTATCGAACAGAATCATGAAACTGGACATAACATTTTATTCGATAAAATTAAAATCCTTGCATGCAATTAATTCTTCTACCAACGAAAATTTCGAGAGTCAATAGAAATCTATAAGCAACCTAATAATCTTAACCGCGACTCAGGTCTTTACCTGTCACCAATATGGGAATCAGCCATCCGTGACGCTCACTTATATATATAAAAGAAGGTACAGAGTAAAATGCAAATGCAGTGAAACTCTAAAGAAGCCAACAGGACGATTGCCGAAACGTTAGCTATTTCGACTAAACAAAAACCGACGCAGGCTGAATCCAGAAGGTTTATAAAAAGTATTACATTAGCCTGTTGAAGTTTCTTTGAAAAATTAATTCATAATTATATTTTACAGTTTAGATGAAACAGTGCTTGGCACTGTTTGTCAATGATATGACTAAAAAAGATTTAAAAATTACTCAATCCGATTGCAGATAAAAAATTAATTTAAATTTCGAATTGATTGAAGAATAAACACAAAAATCTAATATTAGAAGGGAAATTAAGAAATTGCAACATGATCTACGAGACAGGGACCACTAGACTACATCGACAGCTACGACTAAATGATAAAACGTCGGATATAGAAGTGGAATGTTTTCGTACTAATTTACTTTAAAATACTAATTATTTTATATAATGATGTTACATTTATCGAAAAAAATTGACGACGTCAGAAATATTAGCGGTGTTATTATTGGTATTAGGCCGAAACCAATAACCAGGGTATTAAAAATGTTATCATAATAAATGAAGAACGTTATATGTACTTTAGACTTTTGTAGTTATTATATGCATCGCTAAAATTCAGTTGAAGTTCCTTCAAAATGTCTCTTGAATTTTATTTCTGTTTGGCGTTATGCATTTTTGTGAGTTATTGTCCCGCTGAGGGCCAAGAAGAAGGTGAGAATTTAGATTTGTATCCTGAAGAATGCATTTGTGTCAAAAAATTGTTTCAAGGTATTTTATGTTCTAATTTATTGCAGTTTTGGATGGCAGGGTCGTCATTGTGTCACATTTACCTTCTCACTTGTACTGGACTGAAGAAGGAGGAGTCTCAAATCGCTTGAAGGCCAGCAAATACAAAATTAAAAAATCTTGCCACAAAGATACTTACTATTTTATTAACGAAAAGAGCGGGTGAGAGCCGAATTCTGAAGAAAACTAAATTATAATTATAATATTACTTATAACGAGATAGCAGATTCATTGTGTATATTTCTATTAATTTACATTTCTAAATTAGGTTATCCATGTTATTGTGATCTATTTCAGGCCCTGCTAATAGGGGCAAAATGTAGTAAAACTGGAATATTTATTATTTTAGACTATTTTTGAGCGTGACTGGTGGATGCGGAAATACCAATATTGGTCTGGAATCAGCAAAATTAACTCGGAATCAGCGATTCCGTTTAATATTCGGTGACTATGCCAACAGCACTAGAGTATTGGCAAGCAAGTGTGATTTGAACATGTACCTAACCATAAACTCTGGTAGGAATAAACTTTTATTGAAGAAAAAGGACCCTTCCAATATGCGTCAGTTTTACTTTAACTTTGCAACTGTACTGAATAATGTATAGTCTCACGGTAGAACTACAACGGAATAAAGTAAATAAAATATATATAAAATACAGTCTATAATTATTAAACAGTTTCAGAGTTTCATATATAAAGTCACTCCCGTTATTTTTTATGTTTTTGTATTCAGCAGATTGAATCTAGGCTACTTTGACCTCCATAAATATTTTTATCGGTCGATTTGCTGAATTTTCTAAATAAAATTTCACTGGTGTTATAATAGCAGCCACGGAGATAAAATTTTCGAAATGAAATAATACCAGAATGGAGTATCAAAAAATTCAAAAAAATACAAGGCCTGCCATTTACAATTGAAACGTTACCGTCATTTTGATAAAAATCCAACCAAACATTTAGTACATATTATCACCTAAAACCATTATAATGGTTTCGTCCGTCGCCCAGTACGGTAATTAATCTTTACTGAAACATTAATTAAGCAAGCTCAAATATTGTATATTATTTTTTAAACCGTGGTTCGCATTCCGTAAGTATATGTATTCGCTTTAACCAAGAAAAGACGAGTATTACCATTTGCTGCGCAAGAGTAAGTACGTACTTTTCGCACAAATATTGACTAATAATATCATGTCGAAGAAGTTTAAAAAATGTCGTATTAATCAATTAAATGATGCTATATTTAAAAGTTTTATGTTAAGACCTGGTATTTGAAATATACTGAATGTCATGACTAGAATATTGATCCACATAGTTATATATCTATTCTTTTCTATAATTGTCCTTTATTACTTCACTATTTGAACATTTTATTCTAAGCAAATATTTTCTAGATGAAAACCTACCATGATTGCAGAATCTCTAAAAAGTGTTAATTTGGCGACGTTAACGAAGGCCCAAGCTAAACGGACATTTTACAAAAATTTGCCTAATTATATTACAGCCTCTAAGAAGGATTTAATGAATTTTCAGTTAAGAAAATTGAAAAATCACGATGCTTCAGATAAACTTCAGATTCAATAAATAGATCACTGTTCCGGATAGACATTTACGTACTGCAAAACATATATAAATGTATTAAAATAATGAAGCTGATTGATAAGCATATGTGGTGAACTGTTGCATAATACAAAATAATTTTCCATCCAACTGGAACTATGGTCTTCTTAAGGTACTGCTAATCGTAAAAATCCTTCAGATCTGCGACCAATAACCATTTTGCCAGCTATGTCGAAAAGAATAGTTTGTAAGCAACTTAATACATTTTTTAATGAGAATATATATAATTCTCGTAGACTACTACACTAAGGCGTTTGATAAGTTGGAATACTTATTATTGTGCTAAGCTAAATTGTTATGGATGCTCGGAAGGAACTATAAAGGTTCTATAGAAAATGATCTTGGTAATTGAAGGCAGTTCTATCTGAATTTTTTTGGTCTATAAAACGTATTTATTAAAAAATATTAATGGCATTTTCACAATTTTGCTGATGATATAGGATGATCCCATTCGTTTACTGCTGCTGGCGTAGATCAGGCAAAACCTTGACGCCCAAAATAATCTAAAGGAATTGTTCATTCATGGTCGATATTTGAGTGCTTTCAGAAACATGAAGCGAATGTAGATATTTTAAATAATGATTTTTTATGAAACGTTCGAATATATTGCCAAATTTTTTATCACTAACTTATATCAAATTAGCAAGTAATATATGCAAGCGTTAATTACGTCTGCCTGCACTTATAGCAGTGCCACTTCTTATCGCCAAAACACGCGCTAATAACGAGGGGCTTTAGATACGTTTCGAAAACTAACGACCAATTTTAAAAACGGTGCGTCAAACGGTAAGATATTAATTTGCTCTTTATCAATCCGATAAAGAGCTGTTAGCACCACATAAACTTCTCAGTTTTAATGGCATGCTGTTTTCGCCTTGAGCGAATTTTGTAAAAATGGGAAAGATTGCGTCGCTCTGCGTTCTATTGTACATTTTGTCCTATTCGAACGCAGTTATTCGATATATAGATGGTGAGAGTACCCTTCTTAACAAATTTTAAGTAATTATCTGGATAATATGCATTGTAGCGAAATTCTTCAAGACCCCGTTTTATGTTAATCACTTACAATCCGGAAAATGGTTGGACTCAAATGCTCATCTCGTGAAGAATAAGCAGGATAGAGATAAATTCTTACTTAGAAAATCCTGCCACAGGGGAGCTTTTTATATAATTAGCAATTCAACTGGGTACGTATTCTGTATATTATCTGTGTATTTGTATAATTTGTAATATTTTCGCTGCTTTATGTGTGTAATAAATTAAATAGAACAACTACAGGTTAGATGACAAATTCTGTTGTGGTGATCTTTTAGCAATGGAAGTTGCAAACTTTTAGTAGATTTTTGCTCTGTGTATATTTCTTAAATCCTCTGACAAACGACTACTGTCACTGACTTCACAAGAATAACCATGTTCTTGTGAGCGTAAATAAAAATTTAAAATTGAATTGTAGAAACCGCAGCTCATCAATTAAAATTAAACAAGCCTAAATAAAGGGAAATTGTAAAGGGTTCCATCCGCTTCAATAGTTAAACGACACTAAGAAGTTGTGGCTTGTTTGGACACTATATATTTAAAAGGTCACACCATTTTCACCAATGTTTGGATAGTGATTTAAGTTCTTAAAAAGTAAATAATAACATTGTTGAACAGTTGCACATTAAATTCCATATTTTTAGAAACTGTTATTGTTGATAAACAATTGATCAAATGTTAAGTACGGGTTGATTTTTAATCATGCGTTCAAAAATTGCTATGCTACATGTGTTTGTTTAACTGTCCTTTTCTTGCTATGCAATATATCATTAGCTAGTCATTTTTAAGTTCATACTGCTTCGTTTCAGTTCTTTTAATGTTTATCTTTAGATGGGCATTTCATTCAATTTTGTTTAAGTGTTCAATTGGACTTAGATTTCCAGCATGTTTTTTTATCGTAATAATGCCTACTTAATAAAATTTTATAAAATAGGTGTGTTGGAACCAAAATTAATAGAGAACCGAAAATTTACGTTGCACTAGCGCCAACATAATCGAATACGCATTGTTGTCGCTTTTAAATAAAAGAGAAGCTACTCTCAAAAGCTTCCTCATAATTTCATCTCTTAACTTCTTTACCGGTAATGGTATTTTTCTACTCCCGTCTGTAAAACTCCTAATTACACACCGATCTAGCGTGCGGGAAGCGTCGCCTTACCACGCCAGTTTCGTTTCCCACAGATCCGAGACACCTCGGACATTTCCGGGATTTTACCGCACGGGTTTGGCAGCAATCGGATGTTTTCGGAGATATTTCCAAAGCTTTGAATTTTGACTTTTGTCAATTCTGACGCTCAAGTCAGTGAATGTATTCGTGTTGTTTGTCGAAAATGTACCCAAAAACTAACGGTCGTAGAAAAAGTATAGTATACAACACGTTCGGTATACCTTTTAAGTCACTCGTTTATTAAACATGCGCTAGGCTCGTGTTAAATAAACTCGTGAATCAAATGCCGTTTACCGCACTTGTTGCATAATATACTAGTTTCTACTCCCGTGTGTAAAATACCTAATTACACACCGATCTAGTGCGCGGGAAGCGTCACTTTTCCATGTCAGTTTCATTTCCCCTTAAAATGTGACATTTGTCAATTTTGACGATCGTGCCAGCGAATGTGTTCATGTTGGGAAAATGTACCCAAAAACTAACGGTACTAGAAGAAGTATAGTATGCAACACGTTCGATAAACTTTTTAATATACTGTTACAATCGGTTACTTGCCCTTTTCTATTAAATATTTTATTGGATGAATCCATATCATTGACAAAGGTCATAAACGAAAGCGTAGAAAGACTCTACAGTTGTTCTGGTAAGGGCCTTATGGTGGTTAAACCGTTTAAGCAATCGCCACATTTGATCATCCGCTGAAGATTATGTATTTTCAGTCAATTTCTCACTGTCGAAGGAGGATGTGGGAATAGAAATATTGTAATGGCACCGAAACAACTTACGCGGAATCAACAGTTTGAAGGAAGAAATATTTACCAGACAAGATGCAATACTAATTTGTCCCTAGTATCGGATCCAACAAAGGAGAAACTGATCTTGCGACCTTTGGGGGAAGTAGCAGACCCGCTGTATCGTTTGGCTTTTTGGTATTAAAAGAGCTAATAAAGATTTTTTCCGACTTCTATTTCCGTACTCCATTACGCATTTTGAAATATTTCTTTTATTCATATTGAGAAGTGGTTTCCACTATTTTACTATTTATTCTCCAAAAAAATGTCAGTTCGTTGCAATTTCCATTTTTTTTTGCGATTATGTAAAAAAACGCCGCCCTATTGCAAAAGCCGAATTTCTTTTAATTCCAATAAGGTGCTTTTGTGACTAAATTCTTCTCAAAATTGTACAGCAAACAAGAAATTCTCAACCTTGCTCTTTCTAATGTACACAGTGTGTTAATATATTTTATTGGAGAATGTTGAGTTTTCATGGTACTTTTATATATAGAAATAACGGAGTGGCTTTGGCTTCCACTTCAGGCGATGACATACTGACAAAGAAGTGTAATTGGAGGATAATTGGTTGTAAACTGATAACACTTTTCGCTTATCACACCTAGACAATTAAAAAAATTATGCCATGAATGGGTTCGTTACTGGAACCTATAATGCTTATGCAGTATAACAGAGGCAACGTTCTTGAAAAGCACAAATACATATGACAATGACACGTTTAGGTATTCTCTGGATGCTATTTGTAGTCAAAGGCCTTCTTGCGGCTGGTTCCGGTAATTATTCAGTTCCATAATTAAACGCCTTGGTAGAATGGTTGTTTTTAGATTTTTTTAACGATCCATTTCGCATCAGGCATAGTCAATCGAAGCTGTACTTGGACGAAAACGGTCAGCTAACAAAAAATGTTTTTCTATCGGAACAATTTCTACTTAAACGCTCTTGCCACAAGGGCAGCGTTTATTTTATCGCACAAACAAGTGGGTAAGTCGCTTTTTGAAAACAAAGTTTAGCAACCCAGTTGTTGGGTGGTTGTTGTATCTTGTCGAACAAATATTTCAAATATTCGCCTAATTTTCACTCAGAGTTGCGCATGCAACCAGTTCTTGTTAGTAAGACTTCAAGCAAGCCATTGGCAAGCTCATATGAGATTTTTCCCCTTCTCCATAGACACTGAAGTTTTTGTTTTTCTATCATATTATCGGAAGGTCCTATAAAAAATAAATTAATTAAAATTAAAAGTAATTGCGCCTTATGTGATTAAAATTGTAAATTTTAGGAAACTGCTAACTGTTAAGGGCGGTTGCGGCAATACAGTGATATCACTAGAACCGAAACGGTTAACACAAAACCAGAGATTTGATTTTCTGGATGGAGCTCACATTACAAGCAAGTGTGACCCGACCTCAATCGTTGGATTAGCTGATAACAATGAGACGTTAGCTGTAAAGAAGAACGACCCCGCGGATTATACGAAGAATAGGATTGTATTTGAATGGCTGCATACAAACATATAAGCTTTGTTTTTAAAATCAACGTAAAATCCATGATTCTAAATATTGATTTTATTTTTTCTGCTTAAATAACGATAAACCATATGCGGGGTTGACTGTAATATTACTAAAACAATAATCGAACTAAGCTGGGGATTATGAACACAAATTTAAAAAAAATGTATGTCCTGACAAATTTCAGGATAGAATACGAGCATAACAAATACCTACCTATAATGCGGTTATTCTGTTCTATATTTTCTGATAATTTTGATTAAATTAAATTGAATGTGAAATAACCAACTAACAAACATTAGTCAACTAAAATAAAAAACGATTTTTGGGTAGGTTGGGATTTTCTTCACCATTGTTTCTATGTTTTCAACACGTATAATTATCAGTGGCCCGAATGATAGCTAAGAAGTGTAGAGAAATGCTTACCCTTCGCGTCCGCAGTCCAGATGTCCCCCTTCGAGTGTGAGACTCAAAGATTCTACACGCCAGTAGGCGCTATATAATAGAGTGCAGTGAGACTGGAGTGGTTGAATAATATAGTGTTTGCATAGTGAATATAAACGTGTCTTTTTTTAGCTTTTTTAATACTTAATTGTTATTTGGAACTAAATAAATTTTTAGTTCAGTTTAAATTTTTCGCGTTGTGAGTTACTTAATTTCATGGTCGCGTTTGATGAGTCCGATCGACGTTAGTTGTTAAATAGTTTTGTAACGAATTTCTGCATTAATTTTATAAACAGCGTTATTAATCATTAATAACAATAAATTTACAAACTTATATCCCTAAATTAATTTGCCACTAAAGCAGATTTTAAAAAAAATATTTTTGTATGATAGCGTTTACCAGAAAAAGTATATTCTGCTTTCGAATAAAATATTCGTTTCAACAAAAAGAGATACCAGAAAAATGGTTTTCTTTTATTCTTGAAAGCCAAGTCTATAAGAAAAACAACTTGCATTCTAATCACTATAAACATATTTTCTTAGCAAGTTTTATTAGTAATACTGAATGCATTTGAAATGTTTATTGACTGCTATCAAAACCTAAACTTCGGGTTTAGGAAATTGCGAGGAAAACTATAATTGTAAGAAATGGTACATTATGCAAATAGTCGAATTAACGCTTTTTCACTCACAAGTTGGGTACATGCCGAAAACATCTGAGTAGAGTAGAGAGTAGTTTTTTCCCGATATTGATTATATTCACCTACGAAAAATTGTCGCTTATAAAAAAACAAAAATTCGTGAAATTCAAATCACAAGCCGCCACTCATAAGAAATTTGAACTTATGCCTAAGGACTTACTCGATAAGTATCTTATTTGTTGATACGCTTATAAAATCCCAATGGAAATAAAAGTATGAACATACATTCTTTTTAGAAAATGAACCGATGAATTGAAAAAGTTGCTGCAAGTGCAAGTGGCGAAACTATACTTAGGCGACCTGTATCGGAATGTTTAATTTAAAGTAGTTAATTATTATTTATTATTAATGGTTCAATCGAGACTATTAAACAAACTATAAAACGGCTTTAGATTGTCAGTCTTGCGAAAATCACGAAAGGAGGATTTCACTCTATAAGTTGCTTTAGCAAGCACTTTTCTTTCAGTGATAACATAATTAAACAATAAAAAATTGAATTTGTCTTGACTTTAAAATAGCACTCACATTAAATATTTTTAATGTAAGAAGTTTCTGTAGGAACCGAGTTAGGAAAATCCAAATAGCAATTGCGCCCTCTGGCGACCATTTCAGCAACTTGAAACTGAACTGAAGTTTTTTGTTTCTACAATAGATAATGTGTTATTGTTTTTATTGGAGAATATTGATTTTTTATCACATAAAAGTGTTACGGATCCAACCCCTGTGCTTTTATATAAGGGAATAGCGGAGCGGATTTCAGTTATATGCGACAATGTAGTCTGCCAAAGTGTAATTGAAAAGACTAAATAGTTGCAAACTGATAACACTATTCGCTTATCATACTTAGACAACTTAAAAAATATGTGTCATTAAAGGGCCTGTTACTGTAGGCTGTAATGCAGTATGAGGCAACGTTCGTTAAAAGCACAAATACATATTGCAATGACACGTTTAGATATTCTCTGGATATTACTTATGGTGGAAGGCTTTTTTGCAGCTGGTTCCGGTAATTATCCAGCTTTATATGATATATGCTCATTGCAGGGGTTGGTGACATTATTGTTTTTAGATTATTTTAAAGATCCATTTGTAATCAGCCATAGCCAATCGAAACAGTATTTGGATGAGAACGGTCGACTAACTAAAAACCTTTTTCTAACGGAAAAATTTCTTCTTAAACGCTTTGCCACCAAGGCAGTGCTTATTTTGTCGCGCAAACAAGCGGGTAAGATGCGGTTTCGCTTCCAGAGTTCATAGTATCTTTCAAAATTAACCATCGATTTTCGGGACGATTTTTCAGCCCAAAATGGGATTTCGAGGTTATTTTTCAAATGTGCATAGGTGGTTTTCGAGGACGAGAAATTCGAATTTGTAATAATTTTTTGAAAATGTCATCAATCAAACATCGCAAAGTATTTCTTAAAAAATGTTGAAAAAAATTTTTGGTTTATTTTGGCTTGCACAAAAATATTATTTTCTCCAAAACGATTAACCGGACCGGATAAATTCTTGAATAGGGAAACGCGGCAGATCTAAGGCTAAATATTTTGTTTCAGCCATTTTTTTGATTATCTACAGGGTTTTTCAATTATAGACAAAAATATAAAAGATTTGGAAAATTGTTCTTTTTGCAATTAAATTATTAGCCGTAAATCAAAATTCGTCAAGAATAGAGCAAACTGGTTTAAACAGTGTTATAGTCCACATCGAGAATTACAATTTTTGTCTTTACGGTTTTCTTGTATCACACACGCTGCTCGAGATATTTAAAAAAATCCATGTGAAACTCGCGCTCACTTTAGACGCGATGACGTCACCTACTACTACGACGTACGATGTGCGGCATTGTTTCAAATAAATATTATTCTCTCGAAAACCATTTGCTCAATTGGAAAACGCGATTTTTTTTGTATGTTCGATAAGTCTAGGGAATTAGGATGGGAAAAAAAGTACAGATAATACCACAGAACCCCCCCCCAGCCGTATTTTCGGTCCATGTATAAAAAATAGGTTTTTTAATTTGCATATTAACACAACAAATGTTTCCGTGGAAATGGTTAAATCTGCTGCATATCAATGACTACAATGATCATGAATGTCGGTATGTTTTGAGATAAACATTTTGTGTTATTTTGCAATATTTAGATTAGGAGGCAAATATATTCTTTTTGATTTTGAGTAATGACATTCACACTCTCTTAAATTTCCTACAAACTGGATAATTTTTGTTTTCTTGTATTGTGTTTTATGGGATATTTGGTCTCCACTCCTGTGCTTTCAACATTCAAACTTTAAACTATTCAAACTTCAAACTTTCTTTTTACATACAATGTTAACTCTTCGCTCTGTAATTCCTAGAGCTTTTACTAAAAACTTTAGACATACCTTTGTGCACCTAGTAAAGAGTATTGGAAGAATGTTTCCGAGGATTTTGTCTGGAAACAGATTTTCGTTCGACAGGGCCAGTGGTTATCATATACGATAATTTTAAATTTTGGTCGGTTTTAATGTCACTAGCATAAAAAAAATTCTTAATATGTAATTAATATGATTAAAATTATTTTTATTATTATTATTATTATTATTATTATTACAGTTAGAAGGTTTACTTGAATGCTTACAGTATCGGTTAATTTGTTTAAGCAATGAATCTTTATTTTCATATCTGGAACAAGCGAAAAAAAGTATTACAAAAAGAGTTACAATAATAAATTTAAAATTTTATTATCTTACCTTTTACATTTTTCTTTTCTTTCAAAAATTCTACGTATTTTCTTTCGACTTCCCACACTGTCATTTTCTACATAGATGTCAAAACCTATGTTTGAATCTAAAAATTCCTATTCCTAATGCATTTTGCTTAGCTGAGTTCTTTTGCTAGGACTACTTCTAATGGATTTAACTCGCTTTGCTAATGCTAGATTGACTAAAACGCACTATATTACCTAATTAATCTTGAAAATGATAAAAAATGGATTTAATGAGTTTTGCTCAGTTGCCTCTCAATTGCCTCAGTTGCCTCAATTGCCCCTCAGCCCGTGTTGCACAAAATACCACGTGAAATAAACGTTCCAAATATTCGCCTACATTGTGTATGTATGTTGCTCATGCAACCGGGTGTTGCTATTCATATTCCAAGCAAGCTCGTTCGATCTTCTTTTCCGTAGACACTGTGATTTCCTTTTTGTCATAATATTTAAAGTACAAAGCATGAAATATGTAAATTAATAATAAATAAATTAATAAATTTTGTTAATAAAAAATAATATTTCAAAAAATATAATATAGCCATTATGTTAAGCGTTATGTGAAGCAAATTGTAAATTTTAGGAAACTGCTAACCGTTAAAGGTGGTTGCGGCAATACGGTGATATCACTAGAACCGAAACAGTTAACAAAAAAACAGAGATTCGGTTTCCTGGATGGAACTCACATTACAAGCAAGTGTGACCCTAACTCAATCGTTGGGTTAGCTGATAACAATGAGACGTTGACTATAAAGAAGAACGACCCCGCAGATTATACGAAGAATAAGATTTTATTACGACATTTATACATCCCAGGCTTATAATCATAAATATCGCTTTTCATGCTGGAATTTTTGTTTTAATATTAGTGTTAATTTTTGAGAAACATTTCAGTTTACGAGATATATGGAAAATAAACTGAAGACTAAATGGTTGCGCTCTCAGTATATTATTGATATTAAGTAAATGAGAAACCCCAACTCTAGTTTTTGGTATCCTGAATTCCCCTTTTCAAGTACATACTGCAACCAAAAAGATGCGGAAGCACGGGAACGGCGCCTAATTACAGAGGACGCCTTTCAAGAGTGGACTCGAAGGTTCGACACCTCATCGCGAGCACGCACTCAACAGAGTGCAGTGAGAATGGAGCGGTCCACTGATCTAATGTGTGCACAGTGCAAATTTAATTGTTATTTTGGACTAAACAATCTTCTTGTTCGCTTTAAGTTTTTCGCTGAGTGACTTTAATTTTACCGTCTCGTTTGATTAACCCCACTGTCATTAGATGTTGAAACGTAATAGTACAATTTAACAAACTACAATTTAAATTTTCTTGAAAATTATTAAATATTCGGAACTTATAACAGTGTCTGAAGTGACATTCGAAATTGGGAAATGTTAAAACTCCATCGGATCCGTGGGAAACCAAGCTGACATGGTCAAATGACATTTTCTGCACGCTGGATCAGTGTATAATTGGATATTTTAGAGAAGGTGGCATTTGAGTCACAAGTTGCATAATAAACGAGTGACTAGAAAAGTTTAGCAAACGTATTGCATGTTAAACATTTGCTACGACCCATAGTTTTTGGGTACAAATGACCATTGGAATTAACGAACTTCAAAGTTCAAGCACGCTATATCGGTGTACAATTAGGTATTTTACAGAAGGGAGTAGAAAAAAATATATTAAAACCACATTTTCCTTAGAGACATCACTTGCGAAAAGCTATAAAGTAATAAATATAAATTTCTGAAAGAAACTTCCACAGGCTACTGTAATACTTTTTAAAAAACTTCTGGATTCCTCCTGCGTCGGTTTTTGCTGAGTCGAAATTGCTGACGTTTCGCCAATCATCCTATTGGCTTCTTCAGAGCTTGACTGAAACTGTTTCAGTTAAGCCAACAGGATGATTGGCGAAACGTCAGCAATTTCGTCTCAGCAAAAACCGACGAGGAGGAATCCAGAAGTTTTATAAAAAGTAATATAAATTTCTGTAATTTTTTGAATCGACGAATTAAAATAGGGCCACGAACCAAATCACAAGCCGCCACTGTATGAAATGTAAACTTGAGGCGCAGGAATTACTAGATAAGTATCTTCTTATTTGCTAAAGCGCTTATAAAATCTCATTAGGAGTACGCATATGCTCATATTTTTTTTTAAAATGGCCTACACGTTGGAACGATGGATTGGAAAAGTGGCTGTAGTTACAGGTGCCAGTTCTGGAATAGGTGAAGCTATAGCTAGGCGACTTGTATCAGAAGGTTTAATCGTAAGTAACTCTCGTAAATTATTATACATTGACATTTTGACACCTCGATCTTAATTTGAATTGTTCGATCCCGATTGTTGAATAAAGTTTGAAATCACCTCAGGTTGTCGGTCTTGCGAGACGCAAAGAACGTTTGGAATCACTTGAAAAACAACTAAAAATCTCGAAAGGAACATTTCACCCAGTAACTTGCGATATTTCCAAAGAAGAAGACATACTCAATGCGTTTAAGTATGTTAAGGAAAATTTGGGATATGTTCATATCCTAATAAATAATGCCGGAATTGGGGTATTCACAAGCCTTACAAGTGGTGATTCGGCGATATGGCGTCGGGTTTTTGGTACGTTTGTTCATTAGTTTAAATATGATGATAAGTGAGGTCGTCGCGATAACATATAAATTGTTCAAATAACCATAGCCATTGGTTGTTTTACCATCAAATTATTTGTAAAAATAAGATATGGAAAAATATACAGGCATGTATTTTGGTGTATCGGGTAATTAATTAGTTAGATAATTGTTGTTTTTACAAATAACCCCATCGTTTCAAATGCCCTAAAGTTTCCATGAATCATTTCCAAACTCAAAACTGCTTGTAGGGCTGAATTGCATAATGACGTATTTCCAGACTAGCCTAAGTCTAGTCCACTTTATCGCCGAACCGAAAATTACTGCATAAACCATTTCAGCGTTGTAGTTTATCGTGTTGCTTAATATTATTTTGAAAAGAGCAACTATCAAAATAAAAATTTTCGTCTTCTAGTGAAATTGTTTTCGCCAAAAAGATTATTTTCTTTAAATCCTCACTTCCATACCATTTTTTTTTCTTTGCAGAAGTAAACGTTCTCGGACTTTGCATAGCTACCAAAGAGGCTTACCAACAAATGGCCGAAAATGGTGTAAACGGACACATTATTCACATCAATAGTATATTGGGGCATAAAGTATCAGCCGTCTCTGATGTTTACAATGCCAATGTTTATCCTGCAAGTAAATTTGCAGTTAAGGCACTGGCGGAAAGTTTGAAGATGGAACTAAGTTATTTGAAAAAGAAAATAAAAATAACAGTTAGTTATTCGATAATTTCGTGGAGTAATCAGAACATAGTTCTTTTTATTCTAGAATTTGAGTCCAGGTAGGGTAAAAACTGAAATTCTTGAAGCGGGAAACTTTGCTAAGGAACTTGTGGATACAGCCTATAAAGGAGAAACGTTGTACCCTGAGGATATAGCGGAATGTGTGGTATTTGCTCTAACCACACCTCCTCACGTTAATGTATGTAGCGCCGGTTATTTGACTGGTAATTGCGATTTTATTTTAGATCAACGAACTCATTGTTACCGAACTCTAATACGGAAGCCGCTGCAGAGTTCTTCTTGTTTATTAGGAGAAGCAATTCATCAGATTTCTTCGATTTCCGTCAGATAACACTGGATACAATGCAAAGCTATTTTAGGTAACTTGAACGGACAGATGGACATCAATCTTTTGAGAGTTTTTCTTTCCATTTGCTCAAATAATAAAATTTATTCTATTCGTAAGACTGTTTTCTTTCCATTTACTTAGACATTTTCAGAAAAATAGTAATTAACAAAACGCTAAATGTATTAACTTATTAGCCTGATTGTGCTAGCCTCACTCATTTTCTGTCCTCCGATTATCTTTGTAATCTCAGTTTTCGAAATAGCCCAATTTTCTATAGTCTAGACACTATCCCTGCTGCTCTCACTTAGCTCTTTTTAATATTCTATAGCAATGTCAAATGTCAATGTCAAATAAAAACAAACATACAAAAAAAAATGGACTATGACTGACTATGAGCTTTGTTCCGTTCAATCGGAATTGTTTTTGTTTTATTTTTCCTTTTAGTTTTTGATAATTTTTATGTCGAGCAAATTGAAATTGGTTTTTATTTAATTAATTGCTACTGTTATATTCTCCGTAACAATCTCACTGGGTATATGACCAGGAAAAACTCGTATGTAGCTCCAGTGTCGTACTCCACTGTGATCGGGACTAGTACGACTCAGGTAGAGATCAACGTGAGAGCATTTTCCGCGTGTCAGAGCTGCATCACGGTTGGCCAAGAAGAAAAGAGATTGTCATTTTTTGTCTCGTTACATCATTATATTATTATTTGAATCGTCGCGTTATTTCTAGCTTCAATTTTATCAAAATTTACAGTCCATGACTCTTTCTCGTCCAAAGTCAATTAACTCAAACTAAAATTATTGCGTAACATGCAAGAAAAACGTGCTGGTTTCCATTACGCAAACCCGTAGACACGAAAATGTTAATAATTACCATCAAAATAATATGTCTATGTATAATGGAAGGTGGAAAACCAATGGAGTACGTCCACTCTCTATTTGGTATATGTTACTGATTACATACAAAATATATAATAGTGAAGGTAATATGTAACAGCGTAAGAGACTATAGCTATCATACACACCTATCGATGTGTGAAAAATATCAATGTTAATAGTTAATTTAGTTTATTTATTGATATTATTTTACCATTGAAAGAAGTACTAGTAGATAGACAACCGTTAATAACTTTTAATGAGTATAAATGAAAATGTGAGCTACGGCGTCAATATACATTACCAAATAATATGTACAAGGAAATGTACAAGTCGTTCTTAATAAGAGACATTCAATACACTTAATGAAGTAAGTAAGTCGTCAGTAAGCTAGTTTAGTAAGGGTGTAAGCAAGAAAGATAAGAGATCCAAATTATACCTTCGTCAGTAAGCTAGTTTAGTAAGGGTGTAAGCAAGAAAGATAAGAGATCCAAATTATACCTAGACTCTTTATTTTTAATATCATTGTCATCAAATCTCTAGTTTCAGTGCGCATTTTTTGATGGGTATCAATGGCCCCGTTTTACACACTTTTCTACTTATTGATTTTTATCCTTTTCTTTTGTGAGAAAAATTACAAAGACGCCATTGTTTGTGAAATGGGCTTTTTATCTTTCCTCATCGCTGCCCAGGAAAAATTGGTTACACCCCTTTGCTATTAACCCACGCAAAATACGGCGGTTCGTAACAATATGTAATTATAGCAACTTCTTTTCTAACGCTAATTCGATTGTGATATTCAGAAAGAAGGCAATAAAATGAGTATAGTCACTGACAGGCAATTCTATATTACGTATTGCATATTAAGGAAGTTTAATACTAAAGAAAAGTTGAAAGAAAATATGCGGAGAAACACTTTTTAATTGCAAACGGTTGAATAAATCTTTGCTGGCTGCTCCGAAACTTTTCAACGTTCTTGTAGTGGAAAAATCCCGATTCACAGAAATTCCTTATATAATGAGTACAATTTAGCACTCATTCTTGATAAAACTTTAAACCTCGAAAATTGTAAGCCTTTTGAAATTTTAATTTAGCAGAATCGTTGGGGTTCAAAAGTTTTTAACTTTTCTTTAACGTCGTACTCTAAGGGCAATCTTTCAATAGAAAAATGTAGTGAATTTATTACATAAACTGTATTTAAAGTGTAAATTTAAAAATTTAAGCATAAATGAGTATATTTATGTTTCCGCCATTCCTATAAGTTCCTGGCTCATCATTACCAAATGTTACTACGATATCGTTACTACGTGAAGCTATAGAACTGATTTCCGGAGTTTGAATATTGTCGGTTTTAGGAAACTGTTAATCATGTACGGTGTGGTTGACAGCTTCTATTTTCTCCAAATTCCTGTTTATTAAAATGTGAGATTCTTTATGAAAAACTAATTTAAGCAACAAGTGTCTCACTACGGAATCAGCATTTAGAGGAACAACTCGAACATTCGATACTCATCGTGAGAAGGCGCTGCAATCTGTGAAACTATTTCTTTAGCTTTATGACCTATTTTGTTGAACTTCTATAATTTTCATGTCCTCTGCACCTAACAACTACCATAATTAGGGCTTAGCTTTTTAAGCCACCAAACATCAATAGGATGGGTTTAAAAACGGAGGCGCAAAATATTTTATTTTGTTCATCCGAACCGTGTCCTATTCATTTTACAACAATACGTGAATAAAATTATTATTATTATTAATAAACGCCAAGTAAACTGTCAAAAACTGGAACTTCTTTTGAAAACAAATTTTGGTATAACATTTTCGTATTTTTCGTAAATTTTTTAGAACTGAATTTTTAAAAGAATGTTTTTCGCATCTTGAAAAAATTTTGAAATCTCTAGAGTGATTGTAAATTGTAATTTTTTTGTTACATCATTATCGTTAGAGAAAACCGAAAGGAAACTGGAAATTTACATTCCATAGCTTTCAGTATCCAGTTGCCTTTCAATTCCACTAAAATGATAAACCCCAGTAAGTTTAACTGACATTGTATCAATGTCTCCGGCATCATGTAGCTATCCGAGCAAATTTGATTAGATGCGAAATGAATAATTCGACAATCCCGAATTCCTCAGAACCGCCCTCGGTGCTTCCCAGTAATTGCATTTTTTTATTTGTAAAGGATGGAAAAATTTTTATGTGCGATCCTTCTTGTATGTTCGGCGACCTAAACATTTTAACTTTAGTCACGCGGTCAATGCCAAGTTAAAAAAATGTAATTGAAAAATTTGGACTAAAATAAAGGAGCACATATTGTACAAATAAAAAAAAATCCCATATGCAGTGAACATTATAGTTGACACATTATTTGTTGATTTACATTATTTGTTGATTACTGAAAAGAGGAAGAGGCTATACTTTCATTAAGCTAGATATGTTTTTTAGCTATAATTAATTGTTTTAATCTGATACCTGTCCCCTCAGCATTTGCTATACACAAGATACACAGTCGAGCCAAATTTAAATTCATGGATTAATAATTTCGGGTGAAGAGAAATTTTTTTCTATATTTCCTAGGGCACGGGCACAGGCAGCGTAAGCTTCAGTGTACTGCCGTATATTGTTTGTAGATAACAAAATATTGTTCGGTATAAAACATTACATTTTTTAGCATATTTAATTTACTAATTAGGAAAAATTTCGCATATTTTATGAGCCACTTAAATAAAATGCCTTGGAGACATTGTAGATGGAAAATTATGACGAAATAAATTGTTTCAGAACCAGAACGGGATATTTTTTGCAGTTTATTTTAATCTCACTATCAATAAGCGTGTAGAAACGAACGAAAGAAAAAAAAACACCTCAAATTGTATTGTAATTTTTGAATTTGCGATATAAACTGGCTCATTATTTTAGTTTCAAAGCCGTGACTTCATAGATTTGGACCTTACACCTTGGACCTTCTCTAAGCCCACGTCTTGTATAAAACTTAAAATTTCGCACCAATTTTACTTGAGTTTTTAATGCCGGTTTGATGAAAATGATGATGAGAGTCACTAAGAAAAACAGCTTAACCATTCCAGTCAGCCCTTAACAGCTTTGTAAATTCCGAATCACTTCGTGACTAGAGGATGGTGAGGGTCTATTGCTAGAGAGAATATAATATATCCTGCTCGAAAAGAATCAAAAGGAAACCCTTTTTAAGTTTTGAATAGATGTCTTTCATGTCGAGCTCCTTTCGGATTTCTTGTGCTTAAATTATTTAAATGGCTAAAAATATCTCTGCACCAATCCGCACACAAAATTCGTTGACGCGTTTCGGTATCTAGAGGCTGCAAAAAAAATAGTGTACTAAATTTATAGTGATGTTACATAAGAAAATAAAAAAGTTTGCACGAGACACAAGATGGTTTGATTATTATTATTATATTGTGATATCAAAGTTAATGAATATAGTAAAAAGGCTGCCACATAGCAACATTATAATTGTTACAGTGTTTAACACAATGTAACCAATTACATTTCAACACTTTTCGATGCCAAGAATCGCCGAAATTTGGGAAAATTATTATTTAAAGTACCCTATCAGAGCAATTACAGCATTTCTTTAATAGAGCACCATTCGTACATTCGTACGAGCACATTTTCTTTAAACAGAACCAAGGCAGAAATTGTATTTTCTTATTTTTTCCTGCGATAGGAATTGAGTCTAAATCGATAGTGAATTAACACATTTCACTACAGTTTTCTCTCTAAAAATTTCCATTTTCAACATATATGCTCAATTTGTCACAAATGTCACAGATCAAACATAAAGAAAAATCTGAAAAAACATAATATTAAATCTGACAAGAACTAGGTTCGGCAAATGATAAAATGCCGTTCGAGATAGCAGATGTGCAGTTGTGTCAGATCCGTTAGAGAAACAGGTCAAAAAATATCAACCAGACTAAATACCAGAGATTTAGACAGCAGTTTTTGAACATCATCAAATATTTGCATCTAATACTTTCTTCTATGCAAGAAAAGAAATAGGAAATAGATTGTAACAGTAACACAAGATGATAGAAGAGACCAAGTAATATTATTGCGCAAGAAAGCACATTAGGGGCCAATGATGTTTACATCGTTTGTTATTGATTTAAGCCTGTTGCTTAATAGTGATGAGTACAAACACATTGTCAACTATACAGACTAAACCAACTTAATTACCAGATCTTCGTTAAACTGACTACTAATAATTAGGTTGTGCCGGAATCATCCAAAATATTCTTTCTCTTAAGACATTCGACGTAGTACAAATTGCTTACCATCTTGTAATGCTTCTATGAATCTAACAAAAAAATTGACGTACTGACAACAAAATTCACAATTTGATAACTGCCAGTAAGGATTCTTAGTAGGCAACTTCTTTCAAGTTGTAAAAACTCTGTATTTTGAATAGGACTCGAGTAACATTATTACAGAGCTAAATAATATACAAAGCTGACAGGAAACCCGTATTTCTGAACTAGAAGGACTATATTTTTGAGAAATATTTAATTGATCTTCACTACTAATCGAGATATCATTTTATTCAATTTTTGGCTATTTTGAAAATGGCCGATAACATTTATCTGCATCTGGCATTGACTATTGAGAAATTTTGAATAGAAAGTATGAAAATTGGGGTTAATTTGTTTTTAATTTCGAGGATGATAAAAGAAGAAAATATAACTTGACAGCTCACATATTTCAAAGGCCAAAACTTTTTTTTTTAAGGAGACTTGATCAAAATATGAAGTTTGTTATATTTTTGCAAATGGTTCAAAATATAGGGGCTGTTCGATATACAAAACATTTTTTGTGTTGATAATTGACTATTCCTTTGAAAAATAATATATTTCAAACTTTAAATTCCACTAAAAAGGTGGCTTGAAAATGTTTGTTTTAGAAACAAAAAATTTTTCACAGAAAAAAAGTTATCTACCTATATCTACTTAGGTATTTATGTTTGCTTTCAGTCTACAGATGCTTCCACGTCCAATATATGTACATTCCAATTCTATTTTGGCTATATTGCTTTTTGGATTTCATATTATATATTCGGAAATCCGTATTCTGGCAAAGTCATGATTCTAGAGAGCTTATGCCCTTTGGAACACAAAATGATGAAGTAGCTTGGTAGTAAGAATATTTTTACATTTTTGTTAACGCCTTAAAACCTCGTCAAAAATAGGCATATTTAAAGCATTGGCTGTTTTATATATTTTTTTGAAGACATCTTGCTACATTTTGATGTGACCAAATTGTTGTTGACATTTTTAAAGATTCTGTGGCACTGAGGCGCTTTAAGTGTCCTTAAATAGAAACCTCCTATTCATATCCTATTTTATCATATCCACCAACACATCTATTCCATTTTATTCTTAATAAATATTAATATTAAAATTTAAACAAAGTAAGGTGCTATCACATTCACATAGAGGCGGTAACACCCTATTCTTTGTGCTGATAGGGTACTTTAAATAATAATTTTCCGATATTTCGATGAGTCTTGGCATCGAAGAGTATTGAAATGTGATTGGTTACATTTTGTTGAACACCGTAACAACTCCAATAGTGCTCTGCTGCAGCCTTTTTACTGTATTTATTACATGACGATACAAGGCAATTACAATATAATACATTACAATATAATTATAGCCGCGCACTTCTAGCCACCCGGGTTAATATAATTGTTACTTTGCCATCTTTTTTAAATGTAGCAATATGTTTTTAATGAAAAAGGTGAGCTTTCCATTTAAAAGTGCTTAATTTGACCCACCCTGTGCGTAGGAACTTTCTTCTCAGTAATTTCATCCCTCCAAGTTTAGTATATTATTTTTTAACATCCCGTATACAGTCGCGGGACTTCCAAAAAGTCGACGCGTCACTACGGGGCATTCGGTTGTTAATGATTGCATACCGCAGTTAAGCATTAGAGTTTGCAGTCAGCGGCAGCGGCACGAGGAGCGCAAAGCTTCACGGACCGCGTAACGAAAGCTCGAATGCGACTAGTAGGAAGCGCTGGCGCGGGAGCTTTTTCATTCTGTACCGCGGCATGTTCGTTGCCATGTGATTCACCACATCCGCATTACAACTGTCGCTTCAACGCGTGCCAAAACGTAAGTTTAAGATAAGGGTTAACCGTTCGCGTTGGTGTTTTTCGGGACAGCTCTCCAACACCCGGAACAATTTGTGTGCAGGTTTTTAGACGTTCGCGCGGTAAAAAGGACTCGAAGGACGGTAGGAAAGAAATGGCCAGCGGCAGACGACTTCTTTTGTTTTTGGTTTTGATGTGCGGTAAGTGGAACCTCGTTTTTTCGGTTCAGTTGATCAACGAACCGGATGAACTAAAATCGAGTTTTTGGCCGCACATGTTGATTAGCTTGATGATGGTTGAACAAGCGTAATAGTTATTTGCGATTTATTAAATGAAGCAATCAAAGACATCTTGTCAGAAAAAAACTAAGAGAGGAATCGGACATCGGAGAGAATTTAACTGGGTGTTTTAAAAATCATTCACGTTGATCTTTCTTAAGAGGATTTACAAAAAAATTATTTAAAAATTTCTATAAGAATAAATGAATAATTTGAAGGAATCATTCTAACGATTCAAAATCATTATTCATTCGAATTCATGCTAATTGTTTACCTTATCCTGTAGATACATGAATATATAATGTTACGCTCATCAAAAAGTTTCGCCAAAATTAATGCGATTAATGCGGTATTCTAATTTATTTAATGTTATGTGAAATATTCATCACTGTAGAAATTATTGATTTGGCAACTTGTCGATGTTGCGAAAAGTTTTAAATAGTGCCGAGAAAAAGATACAATAGATTTTGAAAAATCTTGAAAGAGGTCCAAAATGTGTCATAATTTTACATCTACAGTAATTTTTTTCTAAAAACTTAGTATTTAATAGAGTAAAATTAGTATCTAAATTTAGTTCTTCTTGCAGGTATTTTCAAAATTTAAGGTGAAAAATTTTTTACATTTAGAATATTCGAGTATTTTCAATGTAGTGGCATTTTAAATTCAGAGGCAGAGACTTTAAATTTAATCTAGTTAACAAATATGATAAACGATCATTTTTTTGTATTTTTAAATAATATTAAAAAAACACGTGTCTGATATCTTAACTACTGCTCAGAATAAGCAGTTTTGCTAAAAGTCGATTAACTTTTTAAAAAATGAAATGAAAATTTTTTTAGAAACTCAACAGATTTTTTAAAATCCACCTTTTCGATTGCTATAAGGATTGAGTTTAACAGTAATGGAATGGAAAGTAATGGAACATAACCACAAGTAACACCACACAATATCGCATTTACTTTGGTAACTTTTATCTAGTCAACATATTGTAGATTCTCGTGAAAAATACAAAAAGTTACATTTTTTCATTAAATATTTGGAGATATTTTAATTAATTCTAAATGTCTTCCTTTTGCCCCACACTGCACACACCTGCAAATGTGATTGTCGACTTCTGCGACATCATGCATAATAAATTGGCAATTACAGGGTTCGTAATGAATACAAATACAAAAAAAAACGAAATCCCATATTTATATATAACGATATTGAGCGAATTAATGTCGCTCATTAATATAAAATATTAATTCACAAATCTGCTCTCTATTTTTGTAGTATATTTATATTACATATTAAGTGCTAGAAAAGAAAGTGTTTGGTCTTATTGGCTTGGTCGAGCTTAGGTATAAATAAAAGCGACGCTGAAAGGTAAGAAATTGGTATTTCGCAAGTTTGTTGACCTCTGCGGTCACATTATTGTGTACGTCAATAAAATCGCAAAGCGCGCATTAACATTTACTAGTATAACGTGCTTTTCACGTCCTGCTTTAAGTAAATGCATTGGCGATTTTCGATTCGCATTTATTATTGATGGTTTACCTTCTAAAACAGGCACGCCTCGCAGCAATTCTACTTGCAGGAAACAGTGATATGCGCTTCGTGTTCTACCTACACCCAAAGTTCACTAAGTGCTAAACAGAAATCTTACTTATCCGAAAAAATAACAAACAACAAAAATTTTCGTCGAAAAAAAAAGATAAATCCTGTTTAAAGTTTTTTTTTAATATAATAATGTTTTGATCATAAAATAATTGACAATAATTTTGTTAGCTCCTCTGATCATAAAATTTTGCCTCTTTATCCTGATTATTGTAATCTGTATAGGAAATAACATGAATTACCCAAACGTAATGGTTAGGACAGATGAAATTAACAAAATAAAATTGGCATATAGATAAAGGCGATGATTGTGAAGCAGTACTAAATACAAATAGTTTGAATATTGCGTTAACTAGTTCTCTTGTTTACATATTAATTTAATGATTCATTTATAATTACTGAAACCGTAATTGACGCTGACTGATAAGTTTTTCTTATGTAAATTTGTGCTCCCTCACTATTGTGTAAAATTTTCGATATTTTGTTTTATTTATTTATTTATATAAATTTTAGCCAATGTTTTTAATGGGGATTTGAGCACTTATTACTGTATTTTTAAAGTTAAGTATCCATTTATTATCATCTGCACAATTACAAATGAAGCCATATTTATTCAAGAGATATTAATGTTTTCATAACTAACTATAACGATAAAACTTTGACCGTTATTAGTCTATAATGTTTATTTTTCCAACTACATAATATCGAAAGCCAGTATTAAAATCATATGTTGGAGGATATCTGTTTTGAATTCTATTCTAAAAATAGGGGGAGAAAGCTATTTAATTCTTTACGTTATTATTGAGTGTGATTGGTATCGATTAAAATACACACAAAATAATGAAAGCATTTGTTTTATATTATTGATAAGATTGGAATCGGGCCAGCTCGAGTCGATCGAAAATATTTCGTGTTTGAATAATTAATCGACTAATTTGCCAGAAGTGCTCAAATGCAGTAGGGAGAAGTGCAAGCGCCATTGAACTCTGAAGCGACATCCACAGTTTCAGAGAATATGTTTACTTACCTCGGAGCAGCTCGAGTTTCACTCGGGCAATACGATTTTGCTGCCCATGTTTCCATTTTATTTGCGTTTTGGTTAATGCGCTTGTATGCAGGATGTTTACCACAAAAAAATTGGACAATATCTTGTGTGCTCCAAAAAGAGGTAGGTCCATTTTTTGGTTTGGTGATATTCGAGGTTTAAGTGACTGTATTTCTTCTAACATTTTTAACAAATATTTTCTACAGTTTACAGTGTGGTTACTTAAGTGTGCAAAATATGGGATTATTTTATTATTTGCCATAATAAACTTATTGTCCAAAGTTGCTGCGTGTTCGACAACCATTTCGAGTGGTTCCAAGCCAAACAATATATATATATATATATATATATATATATATATATATATATATATATATATATATATATATATATATATATATATATATATATATATATATATTCTCACGTATTGATTTACGGATGGAAAAATGTGATGACACTATATTCCGGGATATCATCCGTTCGCTGGTTGAACTCCGACTGGAATCCTGCATCTGACTGGAATCCTGCAAATCCTGCATCCGACTGGAATCCTGCAGACGTTTCGCCAAAATCTCACTTGGCATCTTCAATGCTCGCGCTCCGAAAACACTTCGAACACTGCAGGATTCCAGTCGGAGTTCAACGAGCGAACGGATGATATCCCGATATATATATATATATATATATATATATATATATATATATATATATATATATATATATATATATATATATATATATATATATATATATATATATATATATAAATTAAATTGTTAAATTAAATTTTTTATATTTTTGTTCCGTTGGTTACAGCGATATTAATTAAGCAAAACTTTAACATTTCTAAATTTTTTAATATTGATTATAATCGGCATATTAAAACAATCTAAATCAAAATGTTTGATCATGCTTTTGTACTTAGGCAGAACTTTTTTAATTCCAAATAACTTTTCCTTTTCCTTATAACATTTTGCTATTTTTATTTAAAATAACGTTGTCTATAGATAAAATGATCGTTGGACATGCGAAAATAACTGCAAGCAATCTATAAATTTAATTTTTGTCAATTATTTGTTTGATTTGTTGATTCTTTGTTTTAGAAAAAGTAGTTTTTTATAATTAAGAATGCTCGGCTTAAATAGCAAACAAATGAAAAAATTCTTTACAGAAGTAGTCTCGACATATGTTTCTGCATGTTTATTGTTTCTGATTTTGTTATTTTGTAAAATATTTTTCCTTTTTGATAAAAGGTGTAATGTATTAACGGAAAAAAAATAAATGTTTGTAAATTTTAGCCAGGGGCTTTAAGTGACAAACACTTCTCAGAATCGCAAGCAGGAGACTTTGGATTTCTAGTTGAATTCGCGTGCAAAGTCTTGCGTGCTTCTTTTCTTATAATATGCCAACGAAGAAAGTTTTTCTCATCGATACGACTGTTTGCTTGACTTTACTGGAAATTACCGAGTATGTGTAACGTGAAATGCAAATGCAATTAAACTTGGTAAAAAAAAACAAAACAACGATGTATTTGGAACGAATTTTTATAGTCCGCCACCGTTAAAATAAATCTCAATAGGACTAAAATTTACGAAGGCCCTAACGCGTCATTTTACGTAGCTTTTCACCCTCCAATAATATGATTTGTTATTCAGCAAAAATTCCCTAATTGCTCAATTCTCGAGGGTGAAAAAGGAAATGTAAATTATTACAATTTGTTGCATATGCCACAGAACACTAAAACAATGGGAATATATTTTATTACAGACTCGTCCTCCAGGGAAATGTCCGGGGATCCAAGTATTATACATTTCCCACAGTTTTCTTTTCGATGCCGGATCAACATTTTCCCTTTCAATTTGTTTTATAAGGAAACAACTCCAATGTGTGCCAGGAAAGGTAGATGCCAAATCACAATGAGAAGAATTGGGTACGAAGCCAATAGCGACTGCAAATTGTAATGTAACACATTATTATTCGAAGAACAGAAGCAACCACATAAATTTTTAGTATTAACAACTTTATGTCCTGTCAGGCATCTGTAATTTTAAAAAATCCGATAAAAAATGAGACCAGACCCGGTGCTCATTATAAATTCCAAAGTGAATATTTTTGTTAATATTGATATCTATATATGTTCCTTTTATGGCCTGTTCGATAGGTTCCTTCTAATACCTTGAGCATCTTCCTTGTCTTCTATTCCATTTTGCGGTTTTATATGAAAAATTATCTAATATAACTATTATATGAATCAGTGCTCCGATTTTTTACGCCT